TCCTCCCCCTTCTCAGTAGCACTTTGCAAAGGCAGAAACCGTGAGATCGGGAAGAGCAGGTAATTAGCAGGCAGGGAGGAAGCCTCCTTTCATGTTGAACTGCTGCTGCTGCCTCGTGCCTGGAAGAATGGCACATTGATTTGATTTTCTCGTGGCTGAGATGGCTCAAGGAGGGCCGTTGCTAAGAGCCCTCCAAAAAGCCAGCCCTCTCCCGTGTCAGTCAACCCGCCTGCCTCCCTCCCGCTGAGAGCCTCTTTCTCATCTGCACAATTCTTTCCCTCTTCTGGGGAGACAGCCGATTGTCTACGATTGTCTACGAGGCCGGCAGCTGCACAAGGGGATGAGGGCCTGTGGGAGGGTCCGTGCTACCGACTGTCCATCTGTCGGGAATAGGCAAGCCAGTTTCCCCCTGCCCTGAGGTAACAACTGTCTGGCAGGACGGGAGAGGAGGGACTGAGAGCTGCTATCATTTACTTGTTCAGCTGCCAGCCCAACTTCACCCAGAAACTTTCATCCTGAAACTGTTGTGCCTCCGTTTGACTAATTCAAGGGAGATATTTTTTTCATGCTACCCTTAATTGAAAGACACTAAGAGCAAGTTTTCTAAATTATTGTTATAATTATTACTATGTTGTTTTTAGATAGAAGTCTCCCTCTGTTGCCCAGGTTGAAGTGGCACAATCTCGGCTGGCTGCAACCTCCGCCTCCCGGGTTCAAGCGATTCTCCTGCCTCAGCCTCCCAAGTAGCTGGGATTACAGGTGCGTGCCACCACGCCTGGCTAATTTTTGTATTTTTAGCAGAGGTGGGGTTTTTGCCACGTTGGTCAGGCTGGTCTTGAACTCCTGACCTCAGGTGATCTGACCGCCTCCACCTCCCAAAGTTCTGGGATTACAGGCATGAGCCATTGTGCCCGGCAAGTTTCATGAATTAAACAAAACTCAATTACTAAGAACTCTTAGAGTGAAAGGTTTTGATAGAATGTAAAGACTTCATCTGAAGTAAAGACCGTGAAGGCACAACTGACATACTGTCAGTAGTAACTGAATATTTCTCATGAGCAAACAAGCACTCAGGAGAAACCATTAGATCTAAGTTGGCCCCAAATTTTTATAACAGCTAAAGGACTTGGCAGTTTGTCCCCCTAGACTGTAAGCCACTTGTGGGTAAAGACTGAGTCTCATTGGTGTTGTGTAATTCTCTGGGTGTTTTTCATGAGAAAAAAATCCCACATTTTTTTTTCTTTGGTTCATTTCTTCATTCAACAGATATTTACTGAGTGTTTATGCCAACTACTGGACTGAGGAGGAATAAAATACGATTCTTGCATTGAAAACAGATTGATAAATTGACTCAAGCATATTAAATAAAGCAATTCTGGGTACATGGGATGATGATCTCTGTCCCTGTGGGAAATTGATTAGAAGCTATGCAGGAAATGACTCCTCAAATAATACATGTATTGAGAAAAATCTCCTACCGGCTGGTGCCTGGACTAATGAAAATTTAATTACTTAGGAGATATGTGGGTGATTTGCCTGAAAAAGACTTAGTGATCAGTCGTTGAAGGCCTGGGAGAGAGTCCTCTGAAAACAGAAAACCAGGAGCTTCAGGAGAGCAGTAGGTTTAGGAAGAGACAAGGGAAGGGCTGACTAAGGCAGGTCTTGTTGCTGCACGGAATCATCAGTTGAAGAAACTCAAAAGACAGCAGCACTGTCTTGGGACACTTGGAGCTTAGGGGAAGAGTTTAGAGCAGGGAAATTGACAGAAGAATTATGGAAGTCACCACTGGTATCTTGGGGAGCAGCCATAAAGCTAGTTCCAACCTTAGACTAAGGGAACAGAGTCCCAAAGAGAAACCATGTAACTTTTTCCATGGCTGGAATGGCTCTAAGGAAGATATTGGTTTGATATGCAAAGCTTGAAACAATTCTAAAGATGTACATGTGCCTGTCTTTTTTTAAACACTAGGTTTTACAAATCTTCTGTACCCAAAGAGTCCCTCATATTATAACAGAGTAGTTGGTGTGCTTTAAGTAAATGATTGGGCCCATGGTTCTAGAGAGGATACAATGGCAAAGAGAGGGGCCACAGTAGGGCATAGAAGTGTCCAGAAATCCAGAGGAAGTCTTCAGAGAAAAAATGCTTGATCTCTTCAGGGGTGACAGTGGAAATCAGCTCAACCCCGCGTTGACTAAGTTCCTACTCATATTATAGTTAATTTTTTTCAACAACTTTTTTTTTTTTTTTAAATTTTGAGACAGAGTCTCACTCATTCTGTGGCCAGGCTGAAGCGCAGTGGTGTGATCTCGGCTTACTGCAACCTCCGACTCCCTGGTTCTTCTGCCTCAGCCTCCCAGGTAGCTAGGATTACAGGCATGCGCCTCCACAACCAGCTTATTTTTGTGTTTTTAGTAGAGATGTGGTTTTCACCACATTAGCCAGGATGGTCTCGATCTCCTGACCTTGTGATCCGCCCACCTCAGCCTCTCAAAGAGCTGGGATTACAGGTGTGAGCCACTGTGCCGGGCCTCAACAACTTTTTAAGGGCCTATGTGTATAGCTGAGACACAAAAATAAATGATACATGACAATTTGGTTTAGTAACAAAGTTAAACTTGTAAACAATAAATGCCAGATGTCATGCTAAAATTATGCATTAAGTACTCAGGTTGGTACAATAATACCTGGAGGAGGGTGTTAAAGAATCAGGGGAAAGGTTTATAAATGAGATGATTTTAAGTCTTGAAAGACGAGTAGGTGTTTGCCAGGTGGATGGAGTGAGGCAAGAGGGGTAGGGAATGCTGCTGTCAAAAGAAGTGTATTTAAGGTGAAAATCTTCCAGTATTAATAAAACAGGGTTAAAGAGAAGAGAAACATAGAAAGAAAAATGAGGCTAGAATGTCAGGCAGGCTCCAGATCATAAAATGGTGTGTTTGCAAGTGCCCATGGTTAAATTTTCAGGAATTTCGAGACAGATGCTAAACTCAGTCATTTTTAGCAATTAGGTTATGTTAACTTACTCTTAAATAAATTATATTGCAAAGAAAAGTTACTCAAAACGAACCACTTCCTGATTTATTTTGCTACATTTTACTGTTACCTATGTTGAGGACATCTGCATTTATTGTATCTATATGGTGTAAATACTATGTGATGGTGCGCTACTGGGCATTTTCTCCCAGCTTTGCATTCAGAGATGTCATGATGTAGTTTTAAACCAGCCAGGGCAGGAATATTTATGCTGTGAATGTTAGCAAATGCTACAAATCAGGGCTTCCACCCCACCACCAAAAGCCAGTTGTTAAACTGGCTTTCAGCAACTGGTTTTTGGTTGTTAAACCAGCCTTGCATGGACTCACACATCATGCAAGAGTTTGAGCTTTTTCATAGAGAGAATGATCAGTCTGGTTTGGGTAAAGGAAAAGGAGACAGTCAGAATGACTCACAAGTTTGACTTGTATAACAGAAGCAATGGTGGCGCCATTTATTTTAAGAGGACTCATAGGTGGGGAGATATATAAAGCAGAAAAGACAATAAGGTTTGGATTTACTGCATTTGGGAAGCCCATGGTCCATCCCAGTGTATTAGGCAGTTGGGTTTATGGGTCTGGAGCTCAAGAGTCTAGATTGTAGGTGTGTAGTTGAGTCACCTGCAAGCAGGTAGTAGTTTAAACCACGAACGTGGGTGATGTTGCTTAAGGTGAGTAAGTAGCAAGAGAAGATTGCCAAGGCCAGAACTCAAGGAGTGTTAACATTATAAGGTGGGCAAGGAGGAGGAGCCAGTAAAGGAGTTGATATAGCATAGTCAGAGATGTCTGACGACAAACAATGTCAAAATACAGCTTCTGACCTCAGTTGTCCTTTGAGAGAAGGAAGCTAGGATATAAACTGAGAATTTCAAAGCAGCAAGTGGTACCAAAAAGGCATCGATAGAGTACTGTTCACAAGAGCGCCCAGAGGAACCAGCAACAAACTTCCTGAAAAAGAGAGATGGGGATGAGTAAGGAAAGGCTTCAGAGAAACTGACTCCTGAGTTTCTTTAGTAGAAGTTTATCTACCTGCAAAGCCCTGACAGCCTAGGAAAAGGGGAAGACAAAATGGGAGTGTATTTTCCCCAAAAGATACATTAGGTTAAAAAAAATTGCTTGCAATTTTCTAGGTATATTCTTGAAATATACCAAAGCATCACATATACTCCACAATTCTTTCTAAACTAAGAAGTTACTTGAGATCTGTATTTAGAGGATCTTAAAAAGGTATACTTAAATTCCACCCACCTCAACCCCAGAATATAAGAATTCTTTAGATTTAACTGTTCCAAATTTAATGAGTATTTGACATATTTGCTTTGGGGACTATCCTTGGAATAGTTACATGGCAAGTAATTCTTTCAGCTTTCTATCTCCATACTTTATAATAAACTCAGTGTTGCCCAGAGCTTTTTTCTTCTCCTCCTCCAGAGACGCCTCTATAGTGGCTGTTTGGAGAATGGTGTACTGTTTAGATTTGTATCTGGAAATGCCTCTAATCTCAACAGATGTAGATGAGACTGAGACTCAGTGAAGTTAATTGCTCAGTCACAGAGCTAGTAAATGGTGAGCCAGAATTAAAAACCAAGTTCGTCTCTGACCTTAACCATTATGCTATACTGTCTCTACATATGTATTATGAATCTCTAATCATATTATTTTGCACAGAAAACCATCATTGGCAAGGGCCCTTGCCTTTGTGTTCCTAACAAGCCTCACACCTAGCAACGTCTAGGCAAAGTAAGTCCTTGAATAGCCAGTGCCATCTTCTATCAACCCACTCCAACACCAGAGACAGTTGCGCTCATGTATGATTTCTTTGTGGTTTGTAATTTTTGTCCAGTATAAAAGATAACCCATGGCTTATAGTTTAATTGCCCCATAGGACATAAACCAGTTTTGCATCTGTGGAGAGGCCCTCAACTCATCCCCAAATGTGAAGATTTGCTAGGAACTCATAAGACTCCACATACAGTTCTGCTCATGGCCATGATTTATTACAGTTAAAGGATACAAAGCAAAATCAGCAAAGGAAAAAAGACACATGGGGTGAAGTCAGGGGAAACTAAGTGCAAGCTTCCAAGAATCCTCTGCCAGTGGAATCACAGATGAGCTTAATTCTCCCAGCAACCAGTTGTAACAGCACTTGTGCAACACCGTCAACCAGAAAAGCTTGTTAGAGACTGAGTGCCTGCGGTTTTTACTGGGAGCTGGTCACAAAGGGTAGTCTCTGCCTGGCACATACCAAAATTCCAGACTCCCAGAAGGAAAGCTATATTGTTTTCAGGAGAAACTATATTGTCTTACAGTTTAGATATAGTAAGCTACTTTGATCAGTTGTGGGAATGGTGGAAGCCCCCTGAACTCCAAGTTCCCAGATGCCAATCAAGGGCCAACCTTGTAAAGCAGGTCTTAAGCATAAGTAGTCAGGTCGGCTTCATTAACACTTTTTTCTGCTCAGCAATTTTATCTCAACATTTTTTCTTCAATGCCCTTGCTTAGTTTCTTGAACTGCACTTTGAACCAGCTTTACTATCTGCTGGTTTCCTCATTAATGAGTTGAGTAAGTCTTCGACACATGCTCATTTTATATACATGTATATATATGAGTCATGTTGTCAACTTAAAAGGTTTGACAGATAATAACCTAATCAAGCTAAATAAAATCCAGTCAAAATTAATAAATAAAAAACATTAACTCAATAATATCAAGGCTTAATCTCCATCTCACTTTAGTTACTTAGGAAAGAAAAAAAAAGCAACCTTTACACTAGCATTTCACACTTTCTTAGTGACTTCAGAAAGTCTTCTGATTTAGGTGGCAACCACGTGCCTAGTTGTACTTAGGGCAACATTAATAAAATAATGAATGTTTCTGTAAGTAATAACATATAAAGATCAACTTCCTCTTTAATTTTACCAATCAGAATATTAAAATGCTACATCATTGTTTTAGATGAAATTCCCCATTTAAATATATTACACATAAGCCAAAATTTAGACACAGCTCCTCGTATCACTGTACAATTTTGGGCCTTTAAAAAAAGTAAAAGCTTAATTTTAAGTTTGAATATAATGTGCAGTTTATGTAACATATATAATTATACTTTATACATTATATAAAGTATTATCCTTATTGTGAACTTTATTATGCTTCTGAAATTTCTCCATCATTTCAAATTTACTTCAATAAAAATTTCCCTATATTTTGTGAATTGCATTTTCAAAGCAGAAGTAATGTTACAAATTTCTGTCTATAATAAACAAAATATTTACGCTTTAATAATCCTATTTAGAAAAGGATGCAATTAAGAGCTGGAATAGCTAACATAAGCATAAGAAAGGTAAACTTTTCTTGAATTAAAAAAAGGAAATACTTTAATGAAAAAAAATCAAGGACAGAAGGAACGAGAAAATTTTCTAAACAGCAGCTGGTCCTTCTTCACAATATGCATTACTTGTGCAAATACATCATTAAATATCTGGTATTTACAAAATAGAGGTAAAAGAAAAACCTAAAGTATCAGGATCTTTCATTTCTTATCCTCTTCCAATCTTCTGGATACATTAGTTTACATACCAACTAAACACATGATACTAGTTAACTATAGTTGAGAGCTTATCAATTAAGTCATCAATAGTGTAAACAAGAAGTTGAATGTCTGCTTTTTCCTTCATTTGGTGATCACTATGTTTTCGGAGGATGACATCCACATCTGTGCTGAGTACTCGATCAGCAACCTGCATTGATGTATGCCAAGGTACAATGTCATCCTTCATGCCATGGAGCAATCTTATAGGGCAGTTCACAGGAATTGGGCTATGTAACAAGCAGTGATGTTCAGCTTCTTTAATGAAACTGTACTGAACATTATAAACTCCTTCTTCAGAGTATTTTGATGGCATGCTCCACACACCTTTCATCTCTACTTCCTTTTTTAGCTATTGGAAACAGAAAGAAAAACAAAAGTATTTGTGATTTTAAGTAACATTAACATATGCAATAGTTTCAAGTAATCTAAAGAAAGCAGTTCTTGAATAAGAGGATAGAGGTAACAAAAGCATAACAATATTATCAATAATTACTATACGCCAGGTACTGTGATGGGTATTTTATACATATTATTCCATAAGATTCTGATAATAATTCTGTTATTATTCTATTTTTACAAAAGAGGGTAATATGGTTTAGATAAATGAAATATTGTGCCCAACAGTTCAGGGCTAGGCTACTAACTATGGCTAAGACTCAAACTTAAATTTAAATTTATCTAACTTTATCATACACTATCTTAAATCAGATGTTGCTTTACCCCAACTGAAAAGAAAAATGAAGGGTGAGAAAAGCACTACAATTTCTTGGAATCAGTCCAGGTATCATTCATGTTTAAATAAAATCAAATCTTAGAACAAACGTTGTTTAGATTTCAAAATTGTAAACCTAAAAGTGCTTAAAGGAGCTAAAATGGGTATGGCATAGGGGAAGAAGAGAAAGAATCAAACACAGAACTAAGAATAAAAAACTAAGAGTAATTACACTGAAACTATCATACACATACTCATGAAATTTTAGGCTGAATGTAAAGAAATACAGTTTTTCCTTCCAGACTCCTACGAAAGAGAAAAAAATTTGATTTTTGTTCGGGATGACAAAGAAGTCTTCCACATACTTCCTGAAAGCCAAACAATAATATCTGTACATTTATTCCCTTAAAATGAAACATACACTTCCTTTGACTTTTTGAGAACTCCTATTTTTTACATAATTTATCTTAATTTTCCTTAAAAAATTAGAATTTTGTATAACGAGTAACATGCAATCATTATAGAAAACATAATAATAATAGAAAAGAAATAAATCACCCATAATCCTATGTTATAGATAGAAAAACCATTAATATGTGGCTTACTGTGGCACATATACACCATGGAATACTATGCGGCATAAAAAAGGATGAGCTCGTGTCCTTTGTAGGGACATGGATGCAGCTGGAAACCATCATTCTCAGCAAACTATTGCGAGAACAGAAAACCAAACACCGCATGTTCTCACTCATAGGTGGGAATTGAACAATGAGATCACTTGGACACAGGAAGGGGAACATCACACACCAGGGCCTATTGTGGGGGGTGGGGGGGATAGCATTAGGAGATATACCTAATGTAAATGATGAGTTAATGGGTGCAGCACACCAACATGGCACATGTATTACATATGTAACAAACCTGCATGCTATGCACATGTACCCTAGAACTTAAACTATAACCAAAAAAAAAAAAAAAAAAAGAAACCTTGCGACTTATTTCCTTCCAGTATTTGTCTATATGTGTTTTGGTTTGTATGTAATATGTAAAATACATACATATTACATATTCATATAGTTTTCTATGCTGCTTTATTTAGTTCATATATTTCTGGGTTTAAAAAATTATATGAAAAGGTTTTAAATGCTGCACAGCAGTCCACCATAATTGACTTAATTAGCTTGACCATCTCATACTGTGGTACTGTCATGAATACTTTTGAGCATAAAAGTTTACTTATATATAATAGATTCTTGGAAAGATGATCAGAGATTAAAACTAAAAAAAAAAAATCAAGCTATGAATAGTTTTAAGACTCTTACAATCATATAATATGAAGGGCATTTCTAGAAAAATGGAATGGACATCTTATCAAAAATTTTAAAAAACAAGGAAAGAAAAGCTACACATAATTGAAAAATTTTAAATTTCAACAAATATACTATGATTTTCCCATGTTTAAAATTGTTAATTTATTGCAAATGTAAAAAGGAAAACAAGAACTTAAAAAATATGTATGACAAAACATAATCTATATGTACTTAGGCTTTTAATGTATTTTTAATTCCAAAAAGACTTAATAATTCAGTAAAAAAGAAAGGTACTTCTAAATACGTCTCCAAATGATTTAAAATTAATGCAATTCTACAAAACTATAATATGTATAAATCTATATTAATATCATGGCATTCTCTGTATTAAAACAACATATGAACCAAATATTTAAAGTAAAGATGATGTTTAGCTATCCTCAACTACTCAGGATTGTTCCTGAATTTGTAAATACTTCAGCAGATAGAACTTAGTCCCACTGATTATTAGCTGAAGTGGAGGTTTTGCTAATTAAGGAGACACTGAATAATAGTTTCATTTTATGCATCCCTGGCCCCCAACTAGCTCTGTTACCTGCCACTGAATTGAATGAAAATGGTCCATTTGAAGAACAAAGTTAACTTTATAAAATGTATGTCTCAAATCCTCAAGAACAAAAAGTTCAGAAACAGCAAAGACATTACCCAAAGAAAATGCAGAATATATTAAGTTCTACACCAACAAAACTTATCAAGGCAATGTGGTTCAGAAGCTTACATTCCAAACAGCTGTGCATCATGTCCGAGGACCTCTAGTGTCCAAAGAAGGCAATAATGATTAGAATCAGTTAAGAGGATCGTCCAGTTCTTACACAAGCAATGAGAAAAGCTGGGCTTAATATTCCCAGGGTTATAAAAGATAGTAAAAATCTCCACGTCTGCTCCATTGACATTGTTAGCGCTGTTTATGTGGAGAAGAGATAGTGGTCTTAGTGTTGGTGCTCTTTCCTTATATATACTTTTAAGTTAACCAAGGGCTCAACATGCTTCTGTTAACAACTGCTTATCAGATTAAGTATTAGCAAAAAATGCCTTGATTTGCAGATTATAAATCTTCTCAGTCACTTAGAAAGTATCTACCCTATCCTCACTCTGACTGATGTGAACGAACACACACACACACACACACACACACACACACACACAGAGAAAGAGAGAGAGAGAAATGTACCAGGAGAAAAAGAGAGAGAGAGAGAGACAGAGAGAGAGAGAAATGTACCAGGAGAGAGAGAGAGAGAGAGAGAGAAATGTAGCAGGCATAATGGCTTGTATCTGTAATCTCAGCACTTTGGGGATCCAAGGCAGGAAAATCTCTTGAGCCAAGGAGTTCAAAACCAGCCTGGGCAACATGGCGAGACCCCTATCTCTACAAAAAATAAAAAAATCAGCCAGGCATAGTGGTGTGCACCTGTGGTCCCACTACTCAGGAGGCTGAGGTGGGAGGATCTCTTGAGTCTGGGAGGTCAAGGCTGCAGTAAGCAATGACTGCACCACCACACTCCAGCCTGGGCAGCAGAGATACCCTAAAAACTCCCAATCATAAAAACAAAACCAAAACAAATGTACACAGGTTTTGTCATTTACCAATAATTACAAAATACAATAAATCCCCCCAACCCCCCAAAATCAACTCCTTTTCAATCTGCCATGTCCTTGAGATAATTTCCTACCCGAGAAGCACTATATTATTGAGTTGAGAGGATGGACCAAGGAGGAGTCCACACTTAGATCCACAAAATGGCAATGGTGGGAAAAACATGAAGACATTGAGCAACTATGTATAAGAAACCACCAAGAAAGTGAACAAAATTCAGAAACAGGAGATAAGTTCAAGGAAGACTAGCTTTGTAATTTTAGCTCTGACAGGAAATAATATAAGAAACCTGAATACACACACAATGCTATTTCTTAAGGAGCTGAAAACAATGTGAACTAAGAATGAACTTAGCTAATAGATGGCAAAGGTATTAATGCAGAACTTGAGGCAAATCAATGACATTCTACTATTCAACACTACATACGTTTTTTCTTCTTTTTTTATTTCTGAATCTCCTTCTCCTCTTCCTCCATTCTCTAAAGCATTGTTCTCAAACTTTACAAGAGGTTTGTTAAAACACAGACTGCTGGGCCGCACCCCCAGTTTTTGATTCAGGGTAAAACCCAAGAATTCGGGCTTCTAACAAGTTCTCAGGTGCTGCTGCTGCTGCTACTAGCCTAGGGACCGTATTTTTAAACTACTGCTCTGTTTTCTTTAATTTCTGTATCTCTGTCACTCTGACTGACAGTATCTGTTTGGAGAGTTCTGTTGAGAGGATCTGAGGCTGCTTTTAGGCTAAAACAAAGAGAGTCAGCTCTCCATATTCATGGTTTCTGCAACCATGGATTCAACTAACTTTGGATCAAAAATACCTGGAAAAAAAAGGTTACATCTGTATTGAACATGTACAGACTTTTTTTCTCGTCAGTATTCCCTAAACGATAACAGTATAACAACAATTTACATAGCACTTACATTGTACTGGGTATTTTAAGTAATCCAGAGATGACTTAGATTATACAACATTATGTGCAAATACTACACCATTTTTTTTCTCAGAGACTTGACCTTCTATGGACTTTGGTATCCGTGGGAGGTCTTGGAAGCAATCCCCTTCAGATATCAAGGGATGACTGTAGTTTCAGTTGATTAGCCCACTCTAACATAGTCATAAGAATAGGCACTAGCCTAGGGACCACATGCCACAAAGTAAGAGGACCAAAAGGAGATCACGATGTATGATCCAAATAAGTAAATGTAATAATAAAGAAAATGTTGCTTTAAAAAAAGACTTCAAAGTGTGATTTTGTTAACGTGTCTCAAGTACTGGCAGAATGACTTGAAGAGACAGTGAAGAAAGGAAATCTTAAACAAGATGCCAAATAGTTAAAGGTAGAAAAAAGATTGTGTACAGAAAGGCAGCTAAGACAAAAGTTGGGCCAGCACAGTAAGTCAAAGGACTTATTGTTACCTGTCCCTCCTTCCCTCAAAGAAAGAGGGAGCAGAAGAAGTATAAGGGGTAAATATATTGAGGTGGTCAAAGTGACTTTTGACTTACCTCAACAGGAAGCTGATTAAACTTTGTCACTAAGGTATCTGCAGCTGTAGCTACACCAATAAGAGCCACGACCTTTTCTGGTCGTGCAATTGCAGCATGAAGCATAAGCCACCCCCCAAGGCTCGATCCAACAAGAATCTAAAAATAAAATAAAATATTAGGTCTTTAAGATAGAAAAGGTTATAAACATAAAACAAAATATGTACAATAAAAAATATACTGTTTTGTTTTGTTTTTTTTTGAGACGGAGTCTCGCTCTGTCGCTCAGGCTGGAGTGCAGTGGCGTGATCTCGGCTCACTGCAAGCTCCGCCTCCCGGGTTCACGCCATTCTCCTGCCTCAGCCTCCAGAGTAGATGGGACTACAGGCGCTCGCTACCACGCCCGGCTAATTTTTTGTATTTTCAGTAGAGACGGGGTTTCACCATGTTAGCCAGGATGGTCTTGATCTCCTGACCTCGTGATCCGCCCGCTGCGGCCTCCCAGAGTGCTGGGATTACAGGCATGAGCCACCGAGCCCGGCCTAAAAAATATATTGTTAGAAAGTAAAAATCATGGAATCATTTTAAATCAAATATCAAAATTGATTAAACATTTAAATGAAATAAAAACATTTTCATATCTAAGGAAATAGCTTAGGCCGGGCGCAGTGGCTCACGCCTGTAATCCCAGCACTTTGGGAGGCTGAGGCGGGCGAATCACCAGGTCAGGAGATCAAGACCATCCTGGCTAACACAGTGAAACCCCATCTCTACTAAAAATACAAAAAATTAGCCAGGTGTGGTGGCGGGCGCCTGTAGTCCCAGGTACTTGGGAAGCTGAGAAAGGAGAATGCCCAGGAGGCAGAGCTTGCAGTGAGCCAAGATCGCGCCACTGTACTCCAGGCCAGGCGACAGTATGGGACTCTCGCTCAAAACAAAAAAAAAAGAGAAACGAAACAGCTTAAATATGAGGTTATAGTAATTACCATCATACTTAACAAAAACAGTCACCTGTGGCCCATCAGCTAGGTCATCAATTATAGAAAGAACATCTTTTCTCCATTTCCCCAGTGTGCTTTCCTCCGAGTTACCATCTGAACTTCCAACTCCTGAGTAATCAAACCTGGAAAAAGGGGGGAAAAAAATCTGTATCTAAATATCTATACATTTGCTTCTTTAATTTTTAAGAAAGATAGCACCTTCCTCATTACTGTAATGCTTATAGCAAAACATCACAATCAATATGTATTTTAGCAAATTCTATTGGCTTATTCACTTTCAAGTATCTTCTATGTCCAATCACTTTCTCACCTCCTCCACTGCTACCAGCCTGGACCTAGTCACACTGTCTCTCAACTGAACTTAATGCAATAGTCTCGTAAAAAGTCTCCTGTTTGCATTTTCACACTCATAGTCTTTCCCTATAGAGTGATCCTTGTAAAACAAAACCATGTCTTGCAAACCCTCCAAAGGCTTTCTATAATCTTTAAACCCAGAGTCCTTACGATACTTTGGTGCCTGATCACCTCTGATCTCATTTCTCATTGTTTTCTCTCTTTCCCTCCCTCCCAACTGTATCTTCACTTTCCTTCTTGAAGTTCCCGTCTCATCAGCTTTTTTCTCCACATGGCATACTCTCCTCCAGATGGCCATTTAGATTGATCCCTCACTTCATTCAGGCCTTTGGCTCAAATGTTACATCCTCAGAAAAGCCTCCCATGACCATTCAATTATTAAAACTGTGCTGCTTTCATCATTCTCTAATTCTTTACTCTGCTTCATTTTCTTCATAGGACTTATGACTACTTGAGATATATTTGATTATTTGTGGTCTGTCTCCCACACTGGAATGAAAGCTCCACATGGGCACAAGCTTTGTTTCAATGCGTTCCTAGTGCCTAGATCAGTTCCTTGCAAGTGGTAGGCGTTTAGTGTATATTTAGCGAATTAATGTAACAGAGGGAGACCAGAATAAAATTTATCTTCACCAACCTATCCCTTTCTCCTTCCGACTTCCTAGTTATCTAGGCTCAGTTATCTGTCTGATCTATGAATTTTACCTCTCTTTAAGGGTATCAAATCAATAAAAAATCACGGTGGTATAAAGTATCATACCACACCCACAGGTTACCTAAACCCTAGTCATACTGAACTACTCCTAATTCCCAGTTACACCCTTTTATACTTAGAGCCTTAGCATGCTGTTCTGCTGCCGAGAACAGCTTCCTCCCCAACCTAAATTCGTAGTCATCCTTGAAGTCATGTCACCTCCTCTGTGGAACTTCACTTGACATATATGCCCCATTTTAGTACCAGTCACTTTCTTTTGTATGTACTCAACACTTTTCATATTGTATTGTAATCAAGTTTGTTTTTAAACATTCATCTCCCTCTGACTAGAATGTCAGTTCCTTAAGAGCAGGCTGTTTTATTCAAGTTTGTTTTTCCAGGCTACAGAATACCGCCTGCCCTATACCATCACCATTCATTCTCATTTCTTATGTTCATCCCTTTCTTGGCACTTTGGTAAGTCCAGTATCTTGGTGCAGGTGTTTATTTGTCATCTTAGACCTAGACTATCACAGCAGCCTTCTATCTTGTGTCTCTGACTCTGTCTTTAAATAGAGTCACTATACACAAGCCAGTTTTTTTCTTTAACATTATATTGATATAGCATTACCTTCAGTGCTCCCTGTGATATACAACATAAACAGTGCTTTGGCCTGTTTTTTTTGAACCATTATATTCTGGTCATTTCAGACTGATTTCACAATCAATTTTACAGTAATTTTTTTTTTTTTTTCTGCCGCCCAGGCTGGAGTGCAGTGGCCGGATCTCAGCTCACTGCGAGCTCCGCCTCCCGGGTTTACGCCATTCTCCTGCCTCAGCCTCCCTAGTAGCTGGGACTACAGGCGCCCGCCACATCGCCCGGCTAGTTTTTTGTATTTTTTAGTAGAGACGGGGTTTCACCGTGTTAGCCAGGATGGTCTCGATCTCCTGACCTTGTGATCCGCCCGTCTCGGCCTCCCAAAGTGCTGGGATTACAGGCTTGAGCCACCGCGCCCGGCACAGTAATTTTTTTTTAACTACTAAATTTTACAGTAGTACTCACTTCATCAGGGAATACTACTGCTTTAGATAAATTGATGAACTTACTGTTCCTAAAATAAGTCTATGTTTTCTTATGTGTTTCACACCTCACAGTGATTCCTTTATCTGGAATACCTTCTTCCATCATCTTCTTTACTGATATCTTTTCCCTTCTTTACTGATATTGTTTCCCAGGGCCTAGTTCAAATGAACCTTTTTGGTGGAATGGCTGGTACAGTAAGTAAGGGATTTACAAGAAATAGGAGGGAGAAGAAATTAAATTTTTCTTTAGGTTTGAAGTGAAACGATTTTGGATCCTTGGGAAATAGAACAGGGCAACTGGTGCAGTCTAAATCAGTTACTGTTTCCCCCTCAATCCAGGGTATGTAAGAGACGGGTGGAAAGGGTGGAGGGAAAAAGGGAGAAAGACACCAACTAATTCTCTCCTTTTCTCTCTTCTTAGTTGGCAATTGGATATGGCTGAATGCGGCATCTTTTACAGTTAGCTGCCTTCTAAATATATGGTGACGATGCAAAATACTTGTATAGCTCTTTCATGAAGGAAAATATAAATATTTGGTCATACTAATAGGGTACCAGTAAAAAATATATAGTTAACTCGCTGAACCCCAATCCAGAGACAAAGATAATCCAAACATATTCAGAACTTTAAAACTTTTAAACAGTAGCACATCTCCACCTTAGCAGCCTCAACAGTCTGGGATGTAGTCCCTAATAAAAACTCTATTAAAAATAACTATGAGAGAATACCAGCCTTAAAACCATATGTTATATTCCTGAAATCTGAATCAGTCTTATTTTAGGCATGGTGATAGGATCTTAATAAAACATTTTCATATAGTCATATGTTTTATTTCTTGTGTAATAAAACTATTTCATCACTGAAGATCTAAATTGTACAGCAAAAAATCCCAACAAAAGCAACCTGAAAAATTAGAGAATAGAAGACAAAATCTCTTATAATAAAGTGCAATCAATAATTAACAATAATTAGACTGTGATGAACTTTGATAAGAGTAAATAAAATGGAACTTGTTCAAACTAAAAATTTGTAGTGAAGCACTATTCTTTATGACAGTATACTCATACAGGATCCAAAACGCAGAAAACCCACATTATGTCTTATAGGGAGACAGGAACTGGTTATAACTCTCATAGTCCCAAAGCTGAAATTCAAGAACTGGTAAAATGGTGATTTCTTGATTCAAATTTATTCAGTGGCAAAAAAGAAAAGTGACAACGATATTTTTGATATTATGATGTTCTGCTCAGGACAGTTCCCCTCCTTGGACAGCACTTCCCTCCTACCCAAATCCGAATTCATTCTTCAATGTTCCTTTATCTATTTCAATCCCACTGTCTTTAACTTTATGCAATTAAGGATACTGTTCTTTTGACACAATCACATTCTGCCTAATTTCTCACACGTATTTTATCTTGTGTTTCCCCACCCTGAATGAAAGGTCCTCATAAGCAAGTACAATATTTTATAATTCTTTGTTATTATGCAGCACTCAGTATAGTGCTTGAGAATCTATTTCCAAAAAGTACTCCAATCTTCAGAATACGTCAGAACAGATTTTAAAAGAGTTCTGAGCATGAAAATACAATAATTCAGTTAGTTTGGTAAAAGAAATAAGATTAAATCTATATAATTGACATAAATGCTAATATATTGAACAAGTAGTCTGAAAGTTTTATATATAGCTGTATTTTCTAGAATTATTGAATGAATGTTAGTGAGTTACTCTTCTAAAAATTTAGATGGATAGATTTTTAGGCTGTTAGTGCTAGAAAATAACTCAGAAGTTATTTCTAGTCCAACCAACCTCCTTTTGATGACAAACTTAGGTCCAATGTTTATTAACTTACTTGTCATAGTTATTGCTAGAATTTATTCTAGAACCCTTGTTTCTTGAATTCCAGGCTAATCTTCTTTTTACAAAATCATACCATCTCTTCTGGACGGTAGATACTAAACATACGACTGCTATAGGTAGACCTTATAATAACATAAAGTTATTTACTAAAATAACTCTCAGTATGAAAAATTAGGAATTATAAAATCAAGCTTGAGTTAAATACCACTTATCCCTATTTATGCTTATACATATTTAGATTACAGGAAAAGGAAAACTCAGCAGAAATTTGCATTATATAATAATTTTAAATACACGTATTACTTTCAGATAAACAGAGATCAAATAAAGTCCTTAAGTCCCCAATGGAAAATGATAATATAAGAGACTGTATGAAAGCCAACTAGTATATCTGTTTGTTGTCACATACATTATTGCCTCTGAAGAGCTTAGTTACCACTACTTCCCTTAAGACGTCCTTTCCTGCCAGGGTTGTCAGCATGGCACAAAGGCCTTTAAAAAAGGTCTTTTAAAGGTTGCTTTAAAAATTAATCTAAATCACAAGATGCAAGTTTACAGACCATTAAAATAATTTATAAAAATGCTGGCATTTACTTCAACTGATTAGAACAGAAGTAATTCTCCACTGTAATGCTAACAGTAGTAATATTTTCTCAGTAACGTGTTGTTCCTACCTTATGCAGGCGTGACCTAGAGATTTGCAAAACTCCTCAATCGCCAATGCTTTTGTACCATTCATATAAGAAAGATAGCCAGGGATGAAGATAATTCCTGGACTTTTGCCTTTTAGCTTCTTATAAGCCAGGTTTGGAAGGTCTGGTCGATTAAGGAATGAGAGTGACGTCTTTTGTCTACAAGCTAAACAAAGTACACAAAAAGTAAACTATGGTTTGTAAATTCAGTCTTTGGAAAACCATATATATTTTTGATCTTAACTTTCTTATCTCAATGAACTGATGTTAAATACTATTTCCATTTAATAGAAAAAACAAGAACAGACTCAAAGTACTAAGTTGGTAAGTCTGTACATGAGATCTCCAGTTTTAAAATCATGCCAACATCAGTAACTTCTTTGAGCGAAGTCCAATCTTCATTCTTCCAAAATACACAATGAGGTAGGAATTTCAAGGCAACAAAAGACAGAGACTAATCGAAAAACATTTTCCTGTTGCTGCTTTATTATCTGTCCTAAACAGTATCAATCAACATTCAGATTTACCTGCAACAGTTTCAGTCCTCTCTTGTGAGATTTTTGGTTTTGTTTTTAAATTTATTTTTTGCTTGATAAGTTTCACATCCCCTATTTCCTTTTTTCCTTTTTTTTTTTTTTTTTTTTTTTGAGACAGGGTCTCACCTTGTCACTCAGGCTGGATGCAGTGGTGCAATCGTAGCTTAGGGCAGCCTGGACCTCCTCGACTCCCCAAGCTCAAACCATCGTCCCGCCTCAGCCTCCCCAGTAGCTTCACTACACACATGTACCACCACACCTGGTTAATTTTTGTATTTTTTTATGGAGACAGGGTCTCACTATGTTGCCCAGACTAGTCTCCAACTCCTGGGCTCAAGTGACTCGCCCACGTTGGCCTCCCAGTGCTGAAATTACAGGTGTGAGCCACCATGCCTGGCCTTGCATCCCCCACTTTCTTGGGGGTCAGGGAAGAAACAGGTTTGGTCTGCCCTTGGAAAATTGTTTCAAAGGAGGAGGTGCTGTGCCCTTTTTATTACTAACTCCCATCCACCTGCCCACCCATCTGCCCACCTCAACCAAGAAATCATCAGCCGTGGTGACAACTCATAATTTTATTATCAGCTGAAGTGGGTTCAATGAGCAGTTTCTTTAAAAATAACATATGATAATATTGTTTTTGGAAAGAGATTTCTTGTAGACCTATGCAATCACTTTGCGTTTTATTTGTTGGTTTGGCTTTCTGTAAATGGTACACACAGATTTTAGTGTAATCTACAATTGGTGAACTTTGTAAGATTATTCTATTTCACCGTTTTTCAAATTTTCCCCCACTATAAAATCCATACTTGCTCTTAAGTAACAAGTAGATATTTTTTTCTAAAAGAGTCATTTATAATCCCACCTCTTCTTTCCAAAGACACTAGGTTTGTGTACTTCCTTAGAGTCTTTGGCCTAACAAATTTTCTTTTTTCTTATTAAATGAAGCCGTCCTACACTTTGAAAATTTCTCAGTCTTGAGAATCCATGTGTGCTGCTAAAGTTTTCCCCATTTTGTAATTAAGAAGTTGATTTTTTAAAGATGTAATTGAAGGCCTTAAAGCTATCCTTTTTTACATAAAATCTTGTTTCAAAGTATAGAGAAATATGTCAAATTTAAAACTTTTGGTAAGGGCCAGTTACGTTGATCCACTGATGTTCATTTCCCATCTACTCAGCTGAGCACTAAAAAAAATTCTTACTATCCTCTTCCAGAAATCACCTCTCAAAACATAATTTCCCCCTGAGATGATTACAATTTACTTAGTGTAAGTTCTAAGAAGACCGATTCATATAATTATATCCATAAATCATTTTTGAACATAAGGATTAGTTCAAAGCCTGGTGCATAAGTGCTCAATGAATGTCTGCTAAACATATGAAATAATATTATACTCTGGTTAATGAACTGACATACTACACTTTGCTAGGAGTATTTGCATGTGTAACATGCCTTTTGGTTGCGTACAATTAAATGCAAGTTAAACTGATTATAAACGTTTAATTATTGGATACAAAAATCTCCATACAAAAGATCTCTGCCATGACATTAATTACCACTCCAAGCACAATGGCGTCAACACCACACAAAGCCAAAAAAACAAAAGGATCTAATTCAAAGACTATATATACATATACGAGGTTCTCTGATTTTTGGCCCAAATTCTAGTTTCCTTTGTGCAATAATGATTATGGTTCTTTTCACTGAGTGGGTGCAGCAAGAAGATAAAATTAGAAATTAGGCTTATGAGGGCGTCTACACTTTTACAAAGAACATGCCTCACATTATTAGGTTCCCTCAAGTCAAAGGAGAGTCGGTCTAAGCATTTTAGGAGTCGCAATCTACAAACTCCTAGAAGTAACTAATAATAATGCATTAAACGCATATTTTAATTTTTTCTAGTGTTGGCGTTTAATGCAGGGGAGGCAGATAGGGAGCAGGAGCTCTTTAAACTGCACAGTGTAAAACGCCGGCGAGGGCCCGGGATGCCCAGAATGCCGCAGGGCCGCGGCAGAGTTCTCCTCACAGCCTTCACCATGAGTCTACTAAGCGCCTAGAACTGGGGTGTTGAGAAAGGGGAAACAGCATTTTTGAACCGGGCGCCAAAGACGCACTGCACAGGCACAGGAACTGACGGAACCCGAGGCGTTCGAAAGAACGCATCCTACTCCCGCCTTTCGGACACTGACCTGGGAGCCACCGTGGCGCCCGCTGAGGTATCAGTGCAAGCAGCGCGCCCAGGCCACGGTGGGGACCGACGGGGGCGGCTGCCCAGCCCCAGCTCCGATAAGGTACCCAGGCCGCCACCGCTGCCAAGCGCGCAACCGCCATCTTCCTAGTTGTCCCTGAACCCTGCAGTATCCCACAGACGCGCACGGTACGCAACGGAACCGAGGCTGCGCATGCGCTTCAGGCTGGAAGGCGGAACTTGCTGGTTTCAGCTTGCGAAGAGCGCGCATGCGCAGCGCGTCGTGGCTCTTTCCTTTGGACTGTTGGTTCTACTAGTAGCGGGGTTTGGCTTGGGGCCTTTGGGATGTTTTGAGTGGCGTCGGGAGGCTGCCCTATCAGCGTGCTGATAGATACTACAGGGCTGGAAGCTCAGAAAGCAACCCTATCCAACGGTCCTAGATGGGAAACCGTCTCTTGTCGAGGACACCAGGCTTGCTGCATCACCTGCAATCCCGCCGACCGCGTGACAGTTTTAACCTGTACTGGAAATGCTCCCAAGATCTGACATTCATCTCGCCTGTATAACCTGGAATGGTATCGGACATTCCCCGCTCTAGATCTAGATGCCCGATTAATAAAATATTGAATTATCTTGGCCCCTTCCTCGTGCTCTATGCAAAAATAAATTTCACTAAAAAAATGATTTCAACGGAAGAATACAACTGAGACGATTAGATAAATTTTAGGAGAATATTATATAATCCGGGGACAGAAGGGACTTTCTAAACCAAGATTTCAAAACCCCAGCATCATAAATAAAATATATACTTGTATACGAGTTTAAACTTTTCGAATGGCAAAAGACACCTTAAGAGCTTAGAAAAATGGATTTTGTAGCATAGATACACTAATACTTCTATTCAGCCTGCTCCTAGAAATAAAAAAATGTAATTCCAATAAAATTGGCCAACAGCTATAAATAGGCACCCCATATAAGGAAACATGATGCTCAAACTCACTAAATGAAAAACTGGAATTTAAAAAATGCCTTTTCCCCCCATTCACTTGGCAAAAAAGAAATAATTGGCAAGAATGCTAGACACTGGCACTTATGTATGATTGCTAGGAAGGTGAATTGCTAAAATTTGTTGTCAAGTAATATGGCCACATCTACAATTTTAAAATATGCATCCATTCCAGTGCCTTTTAACGCAATGGCACCAGTTTGTGATTATCCTATAGAAAACAACACTAGTTCTTAAGACTGCATATTATCTACTACACCGTTTTTAGAGGCAAAGAGAAGAAAAAAATGGGAATGGCTAACAATAGAAAAATAGTTGAATAAATTGTAGTACAAGGGTTTCCAGACTCCAGCTCTGAATACCTTTCAAACTAATTCCTGGGGGCCTCAAGCATCAACCATGAAGTTTTATGTAGTAGTTTCCTATTTAAAAGTTATGGTGGCTTGTGTAATACTTTGAGTACATATAAGATAGTAAAGTAACATTTATCATCCTGGTTATAAATTTGGGGGGCAGTAATTGGTACCAGAATTAAAGGCAAAGTTTGCATATAGTGAATTCAGCATGTCTTTGGAGTCGTGAGAACCTGGACTGTTGGCACAGTCTGGAACAGGTAGATAAATAAAGACTGAATAGATCTCTTTCTTGAGAGGTGGGATGCCTATCTACTAAGGACATATAGTTAAGGATAGCAACTTGATTTCAGGACATACTGCAAAAGATGTTGAACTGTGTTGCCCGTTCTCCGTTACACCTGTTGTAGACTCTAAGGGACTAAATCACTAAGATGATGCCTGATGCATGCCATTTCATCATCCCTTATATCTCGTTTTGTTTTTTTGTTGGTGTATTTTTTTTTTTTTTGAAATAGAATCTCGCTTGTCACCCAGCCTGGAGTGCAATGGGGCGATCTTGGCTCACTGCAACCTTGGCCTCCTGGGTTCAAATGATCCTCCTGCCTCAGCCTCCCAAATAGCTGGGATTACAGGCACCCGCCACCATGCCTGGTTAATTTTTGTATTTTTCATAGAGACGAGGTTTCACCATGTTGGCCAGGCTGGTCTCAAACTCCTGACTGCATGTGATCCACCTTCCCTTGGCCTCCCAAAGTGCTGGAATTACAGGTGTGAGCCACCGCATCCGGCCCATCCCTTATATCTTAAACACTTCTCTCTGCATGTTTTGGATAATTGCAAATATTCTCAATCACTTCTCCCCTTTTTCTTCCCCTTTATTTTTGCAAGTCTTCTTGCATTTTACTTGCAGTAGGATGAAAAATCTACTGGTCATAGTGGGAAATCACTGCACAGAAAAAGCAGAGAAACCCATGGATTATTTTCTGTATTCACTCTTGCTGTCTAACAAATTAGAAACAGTCATGGCTAGTGGCAAGTACAGATGCTTTTACGGACAGTAATGAGTTTGAAGTAGACAAATTTTTTCCACTCTAAGTACCTATTGTCAATGTTGACTTCATCAATATATAAAGGGGGCAAAGGGACATACTGCTGAGGGAAGCTTCTGTCTCTGAAATCTGCTGCCTTAGTTCAGGGAGACAAATGAGATCCCCAGCAAATAAATCTTTATATCACATTTACATGATTTTTTTTTTTCCTGTAAGATAAAAGGATAAGTAAACACACTCCTTGCAATCCCCAGCAATAATTGTATTTGTGTAAACAGACAACAATAAGATGTTAGATTTTTTTCAGGGTTCATTTCATTTTGTAAGCAATAGGATATAACCAGAGATACTTCTATTGGAATACTTCAGTTTATACACTACAAATCGTAATGTTAGCACACAACAAACTTTATGTAGTTTCTACAACTGTCATGTGCGATTAATTCATCCTCCATCATACTACAGACAGGTAACTTCAAAATGAGAGATGAGTTTATTTTCAAATGTGAAATCAGATCAACATTTTAATCCAAACTCAATATATTTAACACACATATTTAAGAGGCTTACTACATCATGCAATTGTATTAGAACACCTTTACAATCCTATGAAGAGAGTACAGTGCAGAAAAGTCGTATCTTTACATTAACCAACAAAATCTTAGCAATTACATTTTAGTCTTACATCACTACAGGGTTTAAAAGTGATCACTGCAAAATCAGATTTAAAAAATGTCTTCCACAATCATGATTTTTGTCCTTCACTGTTCAAGTAAAATCTTGTGTCATCCAGTTGCAAAATCTTATTATTGACAACATGTATACGTGTCTACAAACCACACTGCAAATTAACAAAAGAATTGTACCCAGTCAGGCTGACAAAGTTTAATAAAGAGACACTTCTAATCTAATCATTTCATCTTGTAAGTAATATCTTTATTCTCTACATCTATTCATTTGCCATGTTTTAGGAAAGAGCACATTCATACTTTCAAGCATGCAAAACATGATAAACTAGAATAAATGGCACTGGAAAAACCATTATAAAAGAGACTTGCCTGAAGTCGTTTCATTTGACAAAAATTAACTAAAAAAAAGGCTAATTGTAAAAAAAAACCATAATAAAATAATACATTATAGAGAACATTAAGTTGAACTTCATTTGCCACTTTGTAGAACTATACCACTTCTGCAAAGAAGTATTTTAATTGGTCTGTTCTTTGGTGAAAACACAGTTATGATTTCATAGTTATGTCTAGGCAGCAGTTAGCAGGTGTGCTCCAAAACAAAAAGGAATCAGACAATCTAAAGGACATTGGCTACTGGTTGCCTTTATTCTCAGCACCAGGAATGCAGAAATATTCAGCAAAACAAGCTCCTAACACCAGATATTCTCTTTATTTAAAATTGTTCAACATGACAGAATGCCTGTTATGTAACATGATTTTTTTCTAAAACACACAGCCTTTTGCTCTTTCTTCTTTTCCAAAAAGTGGTTTAATATATATATATATACACACACACATATATACACATATATAAATATATATGTATAAATATATATATATATATATTAGCTTACACCAGTGGTGACACTGCAAAGTCAATTTCCTGGGCATTTGATGGCATCAGAATACCATTTTGCAATATACAGAACAATACAAAATGCAGTTCATCACTTGCAGTTACTACTGTTCCACAGAAGTCAGGTCAGGTCTTTGGTTTTGGTGCAGTACTTAAAAAATTAAGGCAAAACTCCTCCTAAAATGTATTTCCCTCCAAGCCCTTATTTGCTTATGTTTACAAAATAACGGTCAACAAAATGCTGCCTTTTTTTAAAAAAAGCCAGTTGATTACCAATAATGTCAATGCCAATGATTTGGGTGATAAAGTTATTCTATATTTCCAAGTATATACAGATATTCTGTAACCTATTTAACCAAATGCAACAACTGATTAAAAAGAGTTTATAAGAAATGTTCCTGTAAGTGATCCAATTTATCAAAATAGTGTTTTCTTTCTCATGAAAGCTTCAATTCTTTTGCTATTTGTTACCAAGGTTTGTGTTAAAACCCCTTCTTTCTTTTTTACAAATAACTTGTCTTGATATGAAAGGAGTTCTGAGTGTTTACAGTTCAAGGGATGGATCTGTTGGGTTTTCTCATCCGGGGTTGAATATGGCTTCATTCTTGTAAGAGATTATTGCAGTTTGCCCTGAAGTGGACTGTTGCCTCAGTTCACTACAACAAGAAGTGAGTGTAACCTTCTGCCCCCGTAACTATAACATCCATCCAGATCCGCATGGCTTCTGGCGATGGGGCCACCATATAATAGATTCTGTCATGAGTCTTGACGCTAAAGGTGAGTAACGGATTAGGACTCTAAAATTCAAAAAAGGAAAAAGAATGTAAAATAAACATCTTAAAATACAACATTAAACAACACAGACATGTGAAGACTTCTTTAAAACTTTCAATTTATTAAATTTACAAAGGCATAATTACTTTTGCTCTACTGTCACTCACACACCCGCCCCAGAGCCTTTTTCAGGATCGAACATGGAACATTCTGGCCTTTCTGAACAAGAAATCTCAGACAGAACTCACAAATTATTTCAGCAGCTAGTTTGTAAAGCTCTAGCAGGGTACCTATCTGAGAGTAGGAGCTTAATAAATAGTAGCTGTTACTCTTAGCCCTACTAGGACATGCTCATGATACCCCTCTTAACTATATGGTAGCTTCTTTTTAGAAACCTGGCAGTCACTTTGTAGGGTTTCCCAAACCATTATGTCCAGAATGTTTCCTCAATTTGCTATGACATTTTTTTCCTCAAGAAGATCAGCCATCCCACTCCGTGTTTACTTTTCCAGCACCATTCTGATCATATCTATCTGTTATATCAGAACATCAACTTCAAACTTCTTAGACCCCAAAAATATTTTTCCTTTCTTAATTATGCATTCAAATTGTAGGAATTTAGAAGACTGATGTTTACCTTATTAGCATTCTTGAGGTGATCATAATACACTTCTTCAATGGCTTGAAAGTATATTACTCCTTTCAATTTAGTTTCATGCTTGTCTGCAAAGACAGATGAGTGTTAAATACTTTATCGCCACCGAGGAACAGAAAAAATAATAATTTTATTACAATTATAATCATTAAAATATTTACAAAGTATTTAATTTATCTAAGATTAATTCAGAGAACTTGGGCTAGTGCACGAGGCCCCTTCTATCTATATTGGAAAAATAAAAAAGAAAAGCCATAAAATTACTAGCTGCAAACCAAAGAACTTGATGACTGCCTAAGGCTCTCCAGTCGATCACCTATCAAATTTTTTATTCAGGGTGCTTGATTTTTCGCCCCCACCTCCGTTTTCAACAGAGCTTCAACAAATAATTTATTGTCCTTTCAATGCAACAATTTCCAAACTGTTTTCAAAGATTTCATCCCATTTACCATAAAAACAAAGCAAAACAAAAACAACCAAAATATAACTCAAACATATAGCACCACTCTGTGATCTGTTAAGTTCTTGAAATATTTTGTAACTTAAACTCTGCAAAGATCACAGTGCATGTCAGCATATTAAAGAATTTTAAAAGCATGAATGAGGAGGTAGGGAAAGAGACTCTATCATACCCTAGTAGTGGAAGTGCAAATAAGACAGCCTCTTTTGGAAGACAGCTGGTAAATGGGCCGGCCGCGGTGGCTCACGCCTGTAATCCCAGCACTTTGGGAGGCCGAGGAGGGCGGATCACGAAGTCAGGAGATCCAGACCATCCTGGCTAACACGGTGAAACCCCGTCTCTACTAAAAATACAAAAGAAATTTAGCCAGGCGTGGTGGCGGGCGCCTGTAGTCCCAGCTATTCGGGAGGCTGAGGCAGGAGAATGGCGTGAACCCCAGAGGTGGAGCTTGCAGCGAGCTGAGATCGCACCACTGCACTCCAGCCTGGGCAACAGAAGGAGACTCCATCTCAAAAAAAACCAAACAAAAATAAAAACAAAACAAACACACACACACACACACACACACACACAAATCCTCTTACTAAGCAATTCCACTTCTAAAATGTTACTGCATAAGATCTGGTGTGTGTGCAAATAAATGTACATGGATTTGTGTTTGTTGTGACACAAGGTTGCAAAAAATCTGCTTAAGCTTTAATAGGAGACTGATTCAATTACAGACCAGCCATACAATGAAATCTATAAAGCTACTGAAATGAATGGAGGTAGATCTGTATCTGCTCCTAAGGAAAAAACCCTTCAAATACTATCATATGAAATAGGGTATGAATAGAATGAATAATTTAGTCCCAAATATATAAAAGAAAATATATACATACTGAAACATATATAAAAATGAATAGAGAAAATCTAAAACAATATTTCTAGCTTGAAAATGAGAGATCAGAACTTTTGTGATGATAAAGAGACTTACTTTCATCATACAAATTTTTGTTATATTTTGAATTTTTTACTAGGTGAATGTCCCTTTTTAACTACAAAAAGCTAGTCTAAAAAATAATGGCCCTGAAAGGTTCAGCAGAGAGTAAAACTATTTAATTGCATTTAATCCAAAATATCCTAACCTATTTGCCCATGGACCATAATTTTTTGTTTGTTTTTCCTATTCCTTGTGAAACACTGTTTTAACTGATACCACGTTCAGTAAGCTTCAGTCAATTTGCAGACATATTTTCTAGGCCTCGGTTTTCTTTAGAGATTCTCCTAAAGATCCCAGTTAATATGCAGGAGGCCAAGGACAGAGACCAGGGACATGAATAACACAGAGTCCTGGGACTTTGCCAGTCAGCGTTCACATTTGCAGCTCCTTCACAAGTACATGGCCATTTCCCTTACTGACAAGCAGAAGGGATGTGGCTTCTGTAGGGTAACGTACAGCCTGAATTGTGATCTGGATGACTGCCTGCAGACTGATCTATTCCTGGGCTTGTTGTGTATGAGAAGCAGGGGTGGGGGTAGGAGTGGACAAAGCTGATAGGTGATGACCATAAACAGAGCTGAATGGGTAGCGTTTGTCCAACTAGGTCTCACCAGCCAGTTATATCATAAATACATATTAAAAAGTGAATGAAATATAATTTTTGCCTGTTTTTTTAGAATTAGGGTTCTGGGTAATTTTTCACATACCAAGAAGGTTTTGGTATTTTTAAAAAATTGAAATCAGTCACCAGCAGGTTGGGTTTGGAAAGACACACTTACATGGGTCTGAAGCTTGGAGCTTAGGTTTGAAGCAGTTGGCCAGGGCATTAAACCACTCACCTGGCTGATAGATGAGAGAATGAAATAAGGCTCACAGAGAACAGGAGCACAGAAGAAGAGTGAAGCAGTTTTGTCTGAAGTTCTTTAAAGTTGTATTTTTGGAAAATTCTGGGTGAGGTTTTCTGAAGACAATACCACATCATACAGTTTTGTTTATGCAGTGTGCAGACACCAAATTGTATTAACTGAAGAAAGCAGCTCTGGATGTTTATAAAACCCAATGACAAAAAGCCCTAGAGAGGTAAAGCAGGGGACCTGGGACGGGCAGGCCACTGGCTTCAGGCCACTAACTTCTGCAGTAACTGGAACCTCATCCAAAGTGCTCCTCAGTGAAAGGCAGGCATTCCCCTACTGGCTCATCTTCCAAATTCTGGGGCTCCTGAGCCACTCTTTCCTTTCTTCCACAGGCTGCTTGGTTTCTCACACTTCTCCTTATAAACATAACCTGACCTCACTGGATTGATTAAATGACTAGACTGTTACTTATATTTTATTGTATCGATACATTTTACTATTCCTGGTGATGCTCATAAATACTGATAGTCATCCCAAAACAGGGTTTTTTCATAACATCTGGTATGACACTACTCTTTTTTGGCACCTGAAAAGAAAGCAGAGCTATACCTGTACTAAAAATGGACATGTTTCACATGTGATCCCAGAAGAAATAAGAGGTTCTTAAGAAGTATGCCAGTGGCACTAATATTCCTGCATTTATATAAGATTCGGTAGGGTATGTTTCTTGTCAGCCGACATTTGAGAATCCAAAAATATTTCAGTCACTTAATAAATACTACTGATCACTAGTTTACCAACGAGCTTTATTGTCTGTGCTTAAAAGACCATTCTAGTTTATGAACTATAGTTGAATGATTTTCAGCTACAGTTGCCTAATTGTGTGTGACTTAAATGGGACGTATGACAATCAATCAATCACAAACCACACCCTCTTTTTTTTCTGGTGTGGTAGTTTGAAAGGCAATATTTTTTCTGATCCCACCCTATAGTGATAGTACTTCTAGTATGATATTGTGATATTTCATAAAATGCAGTGAACATAAACAACTTGTTACCTAAAGAATGCATTAAAACAGAAGAACAAATAAAAGGAACTATTTTGATCTAAAGAATAAATTTTACTTAATATTTATTGGGACCTGAGTTTACTTCAGAAGTAATATAGACCGCTTTGCACTTTTTAAAGTAACATATAATGTCTATTATTTCTAGAAAGGAAATTCATATCATATGGACTATATAATCTAAATATAAAATAATGTACATCTATAAATCTAATATTGCCATTAATTCTGTTATGTATCAACCTACCTATTTACATTGAATTTCAATTGCCTTTGCTCTTTAACACAGGGTTCTCGTTTTGAGTATATGGCTTAAATTTTTTTTATCACCCACCTGCATAATAAGAGAATGTTCGCTTGTTCCGATCAAAAACAAACCAACGTTTTTTCCACGTTTTAATTTTCCCACCCATTTTGATGAGGAATCCTCGGCAGGTCTTCTCTGTGATTGATACATGGTAACAGGTGTCAATATTGTGGCCAGCAGTCTCTACATGGCTCCGCAAATCAAAGTCTTCCTTCCGGACAGGCAGGTAGCGTGTCAAAGGACGAGCCTGGAAAAGTGCAAAACTCATTGCATCTATAGCTATTTGTTTTGTTTTAGGTCACAGACGTTTAGAAGCAGAAATTAACTGTAAAACCTAAGCTTTAAAATGCCCATATGATTAAAAGAGCTTAAGATAAACAAAGCACTTACCATTTGGAGTCTAAAAAGTGGATAGGATTTTCAGAAAGATGCTGTAATATGTAGGGGAGAGGTAGATAAATTCAGAGACCTGATTCTATTCCTTAAGATGGGCAGTTGAGAAAATGAAAAATGGTCATTTATCGTAGTGTAAAAGATGTACTTTGCTCTTAACAAACACAGAGTAATAAAGTATGAAGTTTTCTGGGCTGCTCCTTGCAGATGAGGACTGCTTCACTGCTAAGTTTCCAGAAGTTGTCCCTGCCACAACTTAACAATCATTCTCAAGTAATCTCAAGCATGACATGATTGATTGAACACTATTTAGTAAGTACGGCCCCCACAGGATCCCACAAAGCTGTACTTGTCAGTTTACATATATTCCGATAGAAATTGACAGCAGAGGTTTATATTTTGAAAAGTAAAGCTAAAATAAAGACAGAAGTGGAATCAAAACGACCTAATGTAATGAACTGTCCAGGACCAGATGCCAAAGGGATGTATTTAGATGTCTTTCATGTTGCTGATGGCTGGTATGAAAGCTCCTCCAATCTAGGAAGCATATATCACCATGGGTGATAGTTCTAAAATGTTGTCTTATTTTACGCTGTTAAATAACCCCACCTCTTTGCCTTGGGGAAATGACCTAACTACGTACTTGGAGGCAACACTTATAATCAGGATTAAAATAGAATTGTGCTTTTTGGTTTGGCTTCAGATAGTAAACAAGCATGGATGACTTTCACTGCAAGTCAAAATTTGGCACAGGGTTGGGCATGATGAAAGAAAATAAACAAATTTTACTTTCTACTTTTCCTTCAATACTTAACGTTTGATTGTGTGGTACTTTGGTTGTAACAGATGCTACAGGCTTACTAATACCTCAAAACACACAAAGTCTTAAAGATAGTCTCTAACTGCTATACTATCAAACGGCCAGCAACCACAAAGAATAAAAGTAATGGTATCTTTTGCCTTTGAGTCTAGCGAATCTTGATAAAATGGAGTTGAGCTTTAAATTACATAGTACTTAATAAAACTTTATGTTAGTTTCTCAGAAAACATATTATGTAAGCAGCTATAGTGACAAGAACAGAGATTCAAAATCTACGACGACCAAGATAAGACATTAAACAAAATGTGTGGTTTCTCCAAATTTTGCTTGAGTACAAGCTTGTTCACAGGTGTGGAGGCCTAGTGTAGCAAAGAGGAACACGTGTTACAATACAGCGCTCAGAAAAAAAAACAAAACACTACCACCACGACCAAGACACTGGGCATGGTGAAAAATCACCCTGCTCTAGATTGTTTGCTTGTAAAAGATGGCTTGGTAGAACCTCTTCCATTCCCCAAGCAAAGGTTTCAGTTCAGATGTTGTATTTGTTTTCAGTAGCAAATCCAGTTGCATTTTTAAAAGCTGCTCAAAAAAAAATTCTCTTTTTAAAATGTACTCCAAGGAATGGGTGGAAGAAAAAGTGCTGCTCCTGGCAAAATGTTTCATGCATGACTAAGGAAAAGTGTCATTTGGTTGGTGGTTTCCTAAGAGTTTTGAAATGAACTCACATTTTTTTTTCTTTTCACAGGAATGCACACTCTTCTCTTAACCTGTACATGTCAAGTGCTAATGCTCAGTGCCCAGGAAAGCATCCTCAGACACAGAATAGCTGTCTTCTAGGAGCTGCCACCAGGGGGCAACCTGCCCTTATCCATTCAGATTGACCAACTAACCTGTGCCCTTTGTTTCTCCCTTATTTTTACTTCCTTTTCTATTAACTTCTGCCTCTGGCTAGTTTCTTCCTGTAATCGTTTTTCCAGGATTTCCCGGCGTCGTTTTTCTTCTTCCAGGGCTCGTTTTTTGGCTTCCATTTCCCGTTCCTAAGCATTATGCATAATAATGATTATTTTAAGACATACTGGTTATACTTGAATGGTTCCAACCAATATAAAAAAGATAATTCTTACTAGACAAATCTTAGTTTGTAGACTAGTCTCTTATAATACATAACCTACAAGAAAACAACTCATAACCATGCCTGGTATAGCTTCCAAAATCATCATCTGCAGAAATGCAACCACTAAATTTAATTAACAATTAAATTGTGGTCTTTAGTGAAAATCCAGCTTGCTAATATATTCAGTCATTTCATCATTTCATATCAACCAGCAAGTCTCCCATTTTAAATAAAAAGCCTCACAAAGTGTCCCCAGCACTTATCATGTGATTTAGCCTGTCTTTTGACTACTGTCTTCTAACTGAAGGCCATGGTCCCGCTAATTCCTGTTGTTGCTCTGTAGCTTCCTGGCTGAAGGTCACAGAGGAAGCATATGGGGAAGTTAGAAAAGGAAAGGAGGTGCCCATTAGGGCAGGATGCAAAAGCATTTTGGGGGATTCCTAAGGAAGTCAGATTCTGACTTGAAATACAGTCATAATAACGTGGGATTTTAAATATTACAATAGTGCAGTTAGCACAAGCTGGGAAGGATGAAATAATGCATAAAGACATGACATTCCTCCCTGCTCCTTGGCAGGAACACAAAGCAGCCATCAAAAACAACAACAACAAAAAACTACAAGCGTTCATTTTGGTCTATGTCAATACTATATATTTCAAGTTATGGGAAATCCACTGCAGTAGAGAGCCTTAGAAATCAGCTAACACCTTTATTTTTCAGATAAGAAAATGAGACTGAGAAAGGTTGAGTGATTATTCAAGATCACACAGCTCCTTAAGGAGGAGTATTGCCTGATGCCAAGCGCAGGGCTCCTGCACCATGGTATTACAGACCTCCGGCATGAACATATGAAGCTTACCCTGGATTCGAGCAGCCGCGTCCTTTCTGCATGAGCCTGCTTCAAAAGTCTCTCCATTTCTTCTATTCTAGCAATATTTGAAGTGCTGGCACTGAATCAAAAACCAAAGCCTTTTAAGAATATTGGTTTAGACTGAGAAATCTCTCTAATACACACACAAACACACACACACACACACACACACACACACACACACACACACACGGGGTCAAGGGAGGTGCATGACAAAATCCAAGCATACATAATTGAAAGAATGTTACTTACGAGTCATTGGACCGAAGAGGCAAATCAGTTCAACTCTGAAAATTGTAGGTGACACTGACTTACCTCAGTTTAGAAGACAAAATATAGGCAAACAAAATAATGCCAATGCTTTACTCATAGGTAAATAAACCAAAACCAAATCTTACAAAGTGTGAGTTCTAAATGCTCCCTCCAAAGTCTAAAAATAATGGCCCATGAGAGTCCTTCCCATTAGTTTAATGACTTAAAGATATCAGACCAACAAGACTATCACCAACGTTCTATATAAATGACTGGAGCCTATATAATGTTCTTCAGTTGCGGAATATACATTATGAGCTACTTTTTGTTGCCCCTTTATATATGTGGACACTTCATTTATTAAATTATGATGCCAATTAAAACATGACTTCTCCTATAGGTGCAATGGATGGATAGCATCCAGTTTTGTGAAGAGTACCCCCTCATGATAACAATCAGAAAACTGTATAAAGAGATTTAAGAGGTTCAAAAGAAATGATGGGAAAGATATCACTCGAGTGAAAGATGAAACCAAAGGTAGAGAAAGGTGCAAGAACAGTCAAGGTAACTAAAAGACAAAGCGAAAACTTGAAAATGTTTAACACAAAACAGGAAATTTTATTTTCCACTTGCTTACATTCTAGTTGACTGTTCTGGAAAAGAGAGACTATAACCTAGGTCAAAACTTACTTACTTTGCTATTTCAGCTAGGGGGACCATATGCTGTTTCTAACGCATGATACTTGTGTACTCATTTAAGTACCTGTCTTCTTTACTAGACTCTCTTGAGGACATACAGACTTTCATGCCTGTATCCCTGTAGCATAGAACCTGACACGGAGTAGGGATACATGTTTGTTAGACACATTCATATAAAAATAAATTCATTAAAAATTCATATAAAAATGAAAAATCAGAGCCGTCTTGGTTATAGATAATTATTAATATAGTATTCTCAAATTATATTTTTGCAAATCAAACCTAGGATGGTTTAAATCTAGGGTTAAGAGTTCTATCGAAGAGAACACAGGGCGTACAGTTTATTCTATAATCAGTACTGACAGCCCCATTACAAAACACATCCATTAAGGAGTGAACTGTCTGAGGAATATCGGATCCTTATAAGCTTAACAATTAGTCTGCACTTGGCAGAGTAACCTTGGACCACTTTTTAGCCAAGTGTTTTCTCCCACATGAAAGAGAAGAATATGGCAATATCTTCTCATTATTTCCATTAGCCAGTGAGGAGATACAAAAGAGTAAGCTCTGTTCTCTTCAGCTAGCAAGAATCCAAGGGAAAGAAATCTTTTAATTTTTGTACAGGAATTCTTATTCTCCTTCATTGTGAATACCTGACTTCATGGATGGAAGGGGATAAACTTCATTGGTCCAATTGAGAAAGCCAAAGACATGCATGCAGGACATATAAGGGCACCAAATTATATTTATATTCCACAGTGTAGTTTGTGACATCAAATATGTATGTTTTATATCTCTCATTAATTTGAAAATAATTTGAATTTCACTAAGTTTCAGGTCTTGAAAACTCACCAGTTAGTCAGAACAAACTCACCAATAGCCTAATGCCCATTTATCCCTTTTTTTCATATAGTCAATGTTTACTGAGATTTCACCGTTTACCATTTTCTTTGCTTACGTGTCTTCCCTCTTCCCCCCACCATGAGGTTTATTGAGGATACAAATACTTGACAAACAAAATTTGTATGTATTTATAGTATACAACATGGTGTTTTGATGTATGCATATATTGTGAAATGATTAGTACTATCAAGCTAATTAATGGGGCTCACTACTGTAATCCCAGCACTTTGGGAGGCCAAGGCGGGCAGATCACCTGAGGTCAGGAGTTCAAGACCAGCCTGGCCAACATGATGAAACCCCATCTCTACTAAAAAGAAAGAAAGAAAAAATTAGCCGGGTATAGTGGTGGGTACCTGTAATCTCAGCTACTCATGAGGCTGAGACAAGAGAATTGCTTGAACCCGCAAGGCAGAGGTTGCAGTGAGCTAAGATTGCACCACTGCACTCCAGCCTGGGCAACGGAGTGAGACTCTGTCTCAATAACAATAATAATAATAGGAACATGTTTATCACCTCATGTGGTTGCCTTTTGTGTGTGTGTGTGGTGAGACACATTTGTCCCTTAATTCTTTCTATGATAGCACTATTGCAGAATCGTAATTCCTAACAAGTAGTTATGTGTGGCCATGATCATCTTCCATAGTTGCTTTGCACAAAACTAACTCTGTGGTGCTGGCAACTGCAGATAACTAATCCCCATGGTCAGAAACTACTAATATTTAATGTCATCGTCTTACGAGATCTTCTGAATGTCAAAAAATTAAAGCCAAAGTAGAAGATGCCTGTAAAAGCTGGAATGCAAAGGGGAGAGAAAAACAGGCATTTCTCTTCTGTACCACCATCAACTTTAAAACAAAATGCATGATACTCTAAGATAAGCTCTTACCATTATGATGGAAAAATAAGTGATAAACACCAGGGAAGCAGGTAATGAGGAACTAATGTTTAGAATGTGTATTGTGACAAAGCATCCTTAATTGGAAATTTTTTGCAGATTGGTAGAAAGAAGAGTAAAAAACTAAAAAATCTTTTCTGCTTAAGATTCGTTTTTAACTCGTGTACTAAAATATCCCCAAATTATAAGCCTATTAATGAGGTAATTCCATGCTGAAATTCTGGTTGCATAAACTTGGTCTCCTGGTTTATTATGTAACAAAAAAATATTTGTAGGATGATAGGATTACTCAGAGTTGTGGGTACGTTCGCCCTTCACTTTTTGTGGAGACATCACTTTGTGACTACCAGAAAGTTACATGAGTTGGACAGTGTTTCTGCTTTTTCAATATCATTATTTACAGTGTAGACAAACATAATGCTCAGAAAATAGGTCTTGGGTCATAGAAAACGGACAATTGAGAGTCAATTCTGCATAAAATCTCCATTCTGCTAAAATTATTAAACTGGCTTATAGAAGAGTATTCTGAATACTACCTACACTGATACTTCTTATTACTATTATCATTATTAACTTACTAAACCCTGACTTTGTGCTTATCCTTTGAGAAAATGTTAAGAACCAGTACAGTCAAAGGCACAGAGATCTGAGAGTTCTTCATCCTCTCAATCATTAAGCTCTGAGAGATGTACCAGGAGAATGAACAGGAGTTGGGTTGGACCTAGAGTGCCAGGTTCTAGGATCTGAGAGTAGGTAGTGGGACATCAAAACTTTAGAAAAGGAGGAGTACCATGGCCACATTTATATGTTAAGACCATCTTTGCTTGCCTCAAAGTATAAATACAAATGTGAATACTTAAATCCTTACAAAAATTTTAACATACAGGATAGCAGAAAGCTTCCTTTTAACAAATACAAGGGTAAGAAATCCTCCAAAGTTCTGACTGTAGTTGGAAATTATTTTTTTTCTTCCCCTTTCTTTCTTTTTTTTTTTTTTTTTTGAGACGGAGTTTCGCTCTTGTCCAGGCCGGAGTACAATGGCGCAATCTTGGCTCACCATAACCTCCGCCTCCCTGGTTTAAGGGACTCTCCTGTCTCAGGCTCCTGAGTAGCTGAGATGGGCTACCATGCCCGGCTATTTTTTGTATCTAGTAGAGACAGGGTTTCACCATGTTGGTCCGGTTGGTCTCGAGCTCCTGACCTCAGGTAATCCACCCACCTAGGCCTCCCAAAGTGCTGGGACTACAGGCTTGCGCCACTGTGCTGGGGCCTTCTTTTTTAAATCAAAAGCAGCATAAGTGAAGCTTAGAGCTAACCAACAGAAGGAAGTCAATTTTAAAGCACAGTGTAAATTTGAGCTCAAGTGGAGAAAAACAGGATAAAGGTGAAAACAGATTATATGATGCCTGACTAGCTAAGTTACACAAGATAAGAGAAACTACTTTCAAAGGTCATCATGATACCAACCCTCTTCTGCATTATAGACCCTTTATGTCTCAAAAATTTGGGCTTGTGCACATACAGTTCCCAAACTGATGGCTTTACTTGTTGTGAGCAGTAGGCTCTTTCCTTCCCCATAAATAAATCTTACCTAGAGATGTTGTCAGGTGAGCAAGCAGAGATGCTGGTCTCCATGCTATCAGAGCTATCTAGGCTCAAAGTATCAAAGGCCTGGTCCTTGTAGCTGTGATCTGGATAATGGAAACTATTCAAGTAGACATTTGATTCAGATGCTGTGCGGTTGTAAAATTCAGATTTCTGCCTGTGTCCTTCACTCATCTGTTGGTGATTATAACCTAAGGAAAGAGCCATAAATACGTTAGTGTGCCTCATTTTTTAGTCTTTGAAACTTAATTGTCTACAGACACAAGCCAGCAACCAGAAACATCTGCCTATGAAGCTTGGGCCTTGGTCTAATTTGTTTTGAAGCCAAGAACATCAAAGAAAGACCGCCATGCTCAGTGCAAGCAACAGTTTGAATGAAGTGGTCTGCTGAATCTCTTATCCCTCAGCAGGATCACTTGACACTTTCCTATGGCATTCCTACATCTCAGCACAACCAGCAACACACAAACACAAAATAAACCGAACAGAAACACAATCAAAAGCCCTGAATCCTCTCGAAATGGCTGTGTTCAAGTGAAAATAAGATGCCTTCTAGTGACAAGCAAAACCAGGGTTTTAGGGCAAGCACTTCTTCAACGGTATTCAACTTAAGGAGCACTCAGTCTGGTCATAAAACAGCAGGTGGAATCTTTCAAGTGTAGGGTTTGAGAAACTCATATCTCATATCATCACTGACACTTTTAATCTTGTTAAGATCCAAACTACACATTTTTCTCATTTTCTCTCTCTTTTTCAGTTGTTCTTGTCTGTCAATTACTTATTTTATTCAGAGTCAACATTCCTTCCAATGATTGTGCTCCTCTAACTACCCTAGCTCTCTTCTTTTCCCACCATAACAATCCACCTTCCACAAGCTGTTGATAACAACCATTTGAAAATGTAGGCATCAGTAGGATGAAAAGCACCATAAATAAGAGGTCTTTGCTTTATTTTTTATTTTTATTTTTTGAGACGGAGTCTTGCTCTGTCACCGGGCTGGAGTGCAGTGGTGCGATCTCAGCTCACTGCAACCTCCACCTCCTGGGTTCAAGCAATTCTCCTGCCTCAACCTCTCGAGTAGCTGGGACTACAGGCGTGCACCACCATGCCCAGCTAACTTTTGTCTTTTTAGTAGAGGTGGGGTTTCACCATGTTGGCCAGGATGATCTCGATCTCTTGACCTTGTGATCCACCCACCTCGGCCTCCCAAAGTGTTGAGATTACAGGCATGAGCCACTGTGCCTGGCCAAGAGGTCTTTTCTTTACCCTGGTGCTCGATCAGCTGGCACATTAGGCTATTGGCTTTACCTTGTGTTATTGCTCTGGCTTGCTCTCTGATCACTGATTGAGGGCATTACGAGTCAAATTTTCTTCTTTTCAATTCTCTATTTATTATATACTCAGGAGCAGGCATCATATTGATTAACAAATTCCTCAATTCATTAAAAAACTTTTCTCTAGCCAGTACTAGAATTTGTAATCTCTTTCTCCCTGATAAGAGAATGTCTACTCGAATAGTTTCCATTACCCAGGGAGTTATCAACAGAGCTATTCAGAGTTCACAAGTGTACCATTTGAATTTCCTCTTTTTTTGTGCTCTACCTACCTTTCAATGAACGTTTTAGTAGCAATGAAATGGTCAATAGTAGGCAAGAGGATGAAAGAAGAGAAGTAATTCTCAATGCTTTCTCAGCTACTGATTAAACATTTCCATTTTAAAATAGAAGCCACATCCATGATGCCTTAACAAAGCATTGTATGTCAAAATTTCTGTAAAATGGTTTTAATTTCATGCAGAGTGTTCATGCCATTAGTATTTGGAGTGGTTTTAGATATTTAAGTGAAAATAGGTTATTTCAGATTAAGACATTTCTGGGAAAATAAGTTACCTTAATATAATCGGCCATTATAAATTATAAATACTTATATATATATATGTATTTTAAAGTCACATAGCATTTAGCTAAGGGAAGATGCAAAACATAAAAGCACACCACAAGACTAAATAGAATATCATGAATTATAATGATCAATCCACACAGCATGAAATGAAGCTGGTATAGTCATATGAGTGAAGCTGCGCCTTTTTTTAAGGAAGGCAAAATAATTCATTACTCAAATATTTACCTTTGACACTTGAACTTTTGGAATTACTAATTGCTCCTTTTAAGTTGTTTCCAATTATTTATTATGCAAATGACAAAAAAACACAACAGAAATTATTTGAAAAGGTCACACATGTATATTTTCTTATGATTTCAAACAAAGATTTGTGGCATAGAAAAGTTTCACATTGGCACTAACTACATGGAAGGTATTTCCTTGTAGTATGAAAAACAAATCCCTAACCGACAGCCACGTAATTTAAAACATAGAAGAATTATCTCTCTGGCATTGAGTGACATTGCCCCAACCTCTTCCTCTCCCTGAGTTTTCCACATTGAGGAAAAACCAACCCGTATGAAGTAACTACCACCCTCTTGGAAAAGCAGGAAAGGAGGTGAGCATATTTCTTAATGCAACTGTATGTCTTGCTCCTCAGATCTTCCAGGGTTGTGTTTTTTGTTGCTGTTGTTGTTTTTTGGCTACTTTTCCAAAAGTACCACAGAATAACGAAATAGAACTTATGAGTGAAGGAGATAGTAAACTAAAATGACTCAGATGTTTCAGGTGAATGTAGAAGGGCCAGCTACATTACAATTTGTACTGTGCTAAGGGCTGTGAACGTTAATTCCCCAGACCAACTCACAAGTTGTTGAGATTTGACTCTACGACTGAATCTCCCAGTCATTCTGGTGATAGGATAAGCATTTTACATTTCCATGGCAACTTAAACGAAAAACCACGAGGCCAATAATAAGCATCTCTTTCCCAACCCAGGATTTTTATTTCCCATGAATCCAATGTGACTGGAAAAGTTCACCTCATGGAGCTACTCATTTCTGTCTACTGGTAACACTTTACTGACCACAGTGAACCTCACTGTCACCTGGCCTAGCTTCCTCCCTGCTGAACAAATGCCCCCAAAACAGGTAACCCCTGCAATTATCAGTACGGGCATGGGCCCCTCTCCTGTGATCCTGCAACTGAACCAGTGTGATTCCAAAGAGCTCATTTTGGGATTCAGGCTCTGGCCTGGCCATCCAAAGGCATAGATATTTTAAACAGAGGAAACATCGTAGAAGATCAGGGGCTGGGTAAGCTGGTAGGAGGCCCAAGGAGAGATGCCGATGCAGTGAAGGAACACTAGAACGGCAGGAAACTGGTCTAGGCCTCCACTCTCATGGAAGCTTTATCAGGAAAGGGGATGCAGATGTCCTGTGCACCACAGTTTACCCCCATTTATTTAGCACGTGGATGTCATAAGATAAACAGTCACTGAATGAATTTATCTTTTCATCTATATATTCTATATAAATAATCAAAGAAGGAAGTGGAATGCATCTACTTTCTGAGTGGGAGCAAAGAAACTAGATTGGGAAAAATGAGACTTTCCCAACCCCTGAGACTATTTGGTTTCTATTTTTTAATTATGTAGCAAGAATAACATTAATCAGTGGGAAAGCAACTGAGACAGTAAAAAGGGCCTTGAACATGCTCTAAATTCTTCCTATCCAGACAGAAATAGCTGTCTGAAGGGGTAGTTTATAAGGTGTATAAAGCAAGAGCTAATTGAGGCTTGTTGCTAATCACAGCCACACAAGGAACCCAAAATCAGCTCAGCTCTTCACTGCCTGGGAGAGCCAAGAGACCAAATGTGCAAGGCCCATTTATTATTATTATTTTTAATGTCGGTCTCTATTAATTCTGGCTAATTAGACCTGAAAGTCTCTTGTGAGTTAACGATTACACAATGTGTAGAGTCCTGCCGATACATTCCCAATATATGGTATATACTTTTACACGGCTATCTGGGCTGTAATATGGAAAGTAAGATGACTAAAAGTATAACCTGGGGTTAAGAGGATAAAATTAACCAGTATTTCTGTCAGTTCAGCCTGTCATAGCTCACCTGCTGAGGAATTCATTCTTCCTAATGACAGTCCACAGCCAGAAGAAGAGGGCACAGGACAAGTCAGGAATGAAGAAGGAGAATGGTTGTAGAAAGGGAAAAAGATAAAAGATCAAAAAGGATGACAAGGGGGCAGGAAAAATATTCAACACTCCCAACATGCACGCATTGATGGTGTTAGTTACAATACCAAATTAACAAGGTATGATGTTCACAGTTTCAGATTAAATCTCAGTTTACAGAGAAAAACTCAAGAAACCTTAAAAAAATTTGATACATGCATAGTCAAAAGAGATTGTTACAAGACAAATAAATCTTTCACACATATTCATCAACCAGAAAATAGGAAGAATAAAAACAGATTTTATCTATCAAACAATTCCTTTTCCAAACAGACAGTAGCAAATAGTTTTTAAGAGCTCAGGTTTGTAAAATGCCATTCAATTATTTGAAGCACGGTTCATCAAGTTTTATAACACACCGTCTAACATCCTATATCTCTACCACCTAGCCACACGAAATAACCATCTTACCTATTCGAGTCAATCATTTAAACTATACTTCACTCTCCACTAAGCCTTTCTTAGAAAACAGGCTCCAGTGAAATGAGTAAGTAGGAGCTTCCTAAATGCTTTCATCCTTTGACTGTAGCCTGCCTTATTTATACCTGTCCTTGATAAAGGAGAATCATGGTTTACACTTAGCTCATATACATCACAATACCGTCTATTCTCTTTATATAGATTCTGAATCTTACAAAACAATGCTTCCACAGCACTCATGTTTCCTGCAGGGTCTGACCTTGCCATTAAAAGCCAAAACAAAGAGGGTCATGCAGCTGCCAGTGAACCAACAGCAGCTGCACCCAGCATTGTGTTTCTTGCAAATGTACAACAATTTTTCTCTATTGTATAAAAGAAATAATCATTAGACTAAAAATCCACCACTGCACAGTGTTAAATCCGATCATTTCTTAAACACGACTTGACAATGACCTTTCAATATTTGCTGGAAACAAAAACACCACACAAGGAGGTTGTCATACCTTTCTTGGACTTTCCTGTATTTAACAAAAACAAAAGGACAAAGATTTCATTCATTCTAAAGCTGACAAAGGAATCGTTCACAAGATGTTCACAAGCCAATAACCATTCCAGCTTCAGAAGCTGAGTTTCTCAGCTCTCTGTCTTAAACTCTCCCCTCAAAGTTCTTTGCACGACTCACGCTGTTCAGTTCTATTAACAGTGCTGATTGAGTAAGGCTTATACTTACACCATCATCCTTGATGTATCCATTATGAATAGCAGCAAAAAAAGGTGTATTTAAGTTAATTGTGTAAGTTTAAAAGATGATTAAGTCTACTAAATGTGAGTTAATGAAAATATGCCAGGTATAATTTTTTTTCAAAACCATAGAATTTTACTTGTATTTGCTATTTTAATAAAGTTAACAAGTGCTATTCAAACAATTCTAAATGAAATTATGATCCATCCCTCCTGGTTTTTTCATGAGCCACCAGTTTGGGCTGTGCAGAAAATCCTGCCAGTTTTACAGCCTACTGGGACTCTAAGAACGATAGATCCTGATTTCTCCTCCTCAGGGTAGAGGAACCAAACTTAGAGAATACATCTCTTTGGACCAACACACATATGATGGTTCTCTATTTCCTCAGAAGCTGCCCCATCAACATTACATGAAACTCTTCAAGAGGAACAGCACTTTACAGTTACAGCAGAGAAAGACTGAAGTTGCAGTCTCCTCAGCTGCATAAAAGACATATCAGTAAAGAACAAGAGCACGAAAGATAAAGATAGATTTGATTTTGCAGCGGGAACATCAGTAATGTGGCCGAAGGGAATTAGCGCAGTTTTCCCCTATGAAACTGGCCTGGGATTCCCATTACTTTAGGGGAAAACAGATTAGAATAACTGAGATCAAACCTTCCCTCGGTTTCACCATATTCTCACAAGAATCCTCTTAAATGATAATGTTAATGGCTCTTCAATTTTGCAAATCTATTCATCTACTATAAAGGTCTAGCTTTTCTTACTCTTTGAGAAAATACTTTTATGTATTCATTTGTTTTTTGAAACAGGGTCTTGCTCTGTTGCCTAGGCTATAGTGTAGTGGCATGATCACAGCTCACTACAGCCTCAACTCCCAGGCTCAAGCGATCCTCCTACCTCAGCCTCCTGAGTGGTTGGGACCACAGGTGCATGCCACCATGCCTGGCTAATTTTTAAATTACTTGTAGAGATGGGATCTCACTATGTTGCCCAGGCTGGTCTCAAATTCTTAACTCAAGCAATCCTCCCTCCTCAGCCTCCCAAGGTGCTGAGATTATAGGCATGAGCCACCAAACCTGGCAAGGAAATACTTTTAACAAGGAGTATAATAATTTGTGATCCCACCCTCTTTCCCAAATGCTTGCTCTTTCTCTTAAACACCTGAAGTACATGAAAATGCTTCATGGTCTTTATTGGTGTTGTGGCCAATCTAAGCTTCGATGTCTTCCGACGGTGGGAAAAATATATTTAAAAAGAAGTCTAATACACGCCTGCAATCCCAGCACTTTGGGAGGCCAAGGTGGGAGATCACTGAAGCCCAGGAGGTCGAAACCAGCCTGGGAAACATGACAAAAACCCATCTCTGCCAAAAAATACAAAAATTGGCCAGGTATGGTAGCACACACCTATAGTTCCAGCTTACTCGGGAGGCTGAGGTGGGAGGATCACTTGAACCCAGGAGGCAGAGTTTGCAGTGAGCTATAATTACACACCACTGCATTCCAGCCTGGACAACAGAGTGAGACCTTGTCTCAAATATTTATATGTAAATATTACAGAAAAATGTTTCGACAGCAAATAGACTTGACCCACAACTTAACAGTGATAAATGAGAGCCAAAATAGACTCATATATGTTGATTATTTATAACTATTAAAAGAATATTTTTAGCTTATTAAGAAATTATGGCAAAGAAAATAAACTAGTTTAATCAGTGTATTTGATTCAAATATTACCACTGCAAATGTCTCTCACATATTACAATCCTATTATGAATACTATACCCTCTAATTCTTAAATTGCCTTTAGTAATGGTTTGAAAACCTCGTTCCAGTGAGAGAGAGAGAGAGAGAGAGAGATATCATATATACACACAATACACATTATGTTCACATACATATAAATTTATATATGTATATGTAGTATATATGTATTTTATATATGTGTGTGTGTGTGTGTGCGCATGTGTATGTATGTATGTGTGTATGTATATATATTTTCTCCTGGTGGAAAACCAGCGTTATCTCTCAGCACCATTGGCAGAGAGGCCAAACAGCTAGAATTGAATTCCAGCCTGCTTAGAAGGGAGGATTTGAATCCCATCAATGCATGAATGTATTTGAAGGTCAAATGCCTGCTATCCCCAAAGCATTTCCATTTACAACCTGGGCATACTGCCATTATTCCATTTACCACATTTTATTGAAATCATCTGTTCTGTGTCTTTCTTCCTCACTAGACTACAAGTATTTCAAAGGCAAGCTTCCTATCATTAATTTGCATTCTTGGTACCTAACATCATGCCTGCTCAAAAGTTAGGACAATGTAACTTGTTGACTTAAACTATTGTGTTAACACAAGAAATCTAATCCTCTCAATGAGAAGCTTAGCCCTGGAACTATGTTACAGTAATTTCTTCTAGCCCCATGAAGACTATCTGAGAACCCCATTATAAATGTAATGTATTATTACAAAAAAAAGAATGCTGAGAGTCAAAGTCTACCTGAAACATAACAACTATGAAGTATAAAAGCTCAAATCTACATTAAAAGGCCTACAAGAATTCTGTTCTGGGCCACTACTGCTATATTTACCATGTCAGCTCAAAGATTCTTTAGCACAAAGTTCATTCAACTTAGTGGCTCTGACACAACCCAGGTGAGTGATCTTGGTTAAGTGTCCTGGTAATCTCCTTGGATCTCACTGGTCTCTCTTTTCTTTCTATTAATCAAATGGGAAGGTTAGTAATTCTCTAGGGGTCTTTCTGGTTTAAGAGTTCTATCAAATCTAAAAAGTACAATGGGAATGTTTAAAATATACCAGCTATATGTATAAATAGGAAAAGTTATTTATCCCTCCCGAAAGAGAACACATTAAGAGTAAAATTAGGCCTTTGGCTGATCCCTCTTCTAATCATCCCTACCCGTTCTCACTTCCTCCCCCTGAAGAATTCTAATGCTTAACAAAAGGCCATGACATTTGATTTAAAAGGCACGTACCTCTGAGCATCCTGCGAGATTCTGAGTCTTTCGCCATGGCTGCCAGTGAGGGAGGGAGCACACTTCCACAGCTGTTACTCTGTCCCAGGGGCACGTGGGCCTGTGGGAAGCAGGAGGGAGTACTTCAGGCAAGCTGCAGGCTGAATGGACCTTTAGGAAATGGCCACATCCCTGTTTCCAAAGCTCCTATCTAAGTGTACAGGGCAGAGAAGGTAGGTCTTTGAATTACATTTGTTGATGCTAAGTGGTAAACGCCAGTTACTGGCCCTCCCGAGAAGCTCCAGGGTAGTCGCAATATCACAGCACTTCCTCCAACAGCAGCAATTCCAAAAGTGAAGGCAGTTGGGGAAGACACTGTCCAAAATCACCTGAAAGAATGGCTGAAAGTTCTTCATGCATAAGGAGCAGAGGGCAGATGCAGGGCCAAGAATGCATGCGCACCATGCAAAAGAACAGGGAAGAGCTACTCTTGTTACAAATGTACCGATTTTTATTTATCCTCAGTTATGTGGTGGGCTGAACCTGAAGAAATCTGTTAACACTCTAATGGTTTCAGCATTTTTTAAAAAAATAGCAAAATCTTTCCTGTAGATAAAATATACTTGAAACACAAATTTATAAAACAGATTAAAACAAAGTTACTCTGATTAAGGGTAGGGGAAGGGCTCAAAAGTCTGTCTCATTCAGAACCTCCTTCACACCTGCCTCTTCTCTTTCCACAATGATCCCCTCAGGCATGTTGGCAGAACGTGAGGGAGCTCTGGTGTCAGGTCACATAGGTTCACATTCCACTCCACTCCACACCAGCTGAGGGTTCCTTGGTTAGTCACTTAACCTTATACACCTCAGTTTATCCGTACATACAAATGGGATAATAATCAGTACTCTACTGCCTAGTGCTGCTGGGTTTTCAAATGAGGCAATCCACATAAAAGACTCAACCCAGCATCAGCCACATGAAAATGTCTGAATAAATACTTGTTGCTGTTATTCCTGGAACACAGAGGCTATATCCTATCTTATTTCCAGATGTGGGACGCAGCCATGGAAGTCCATCATGTAAGTGAATGCCACTCATCACCTGGGTTGTACTGGTAGAAAATACCCTGAAGCATGTTCTTTGGCCCCAGAGCATACAATTTCAGATGTCCTCTGAACAGGTAGAAAATGCGATTTAGTCCTGATGTCTGCCTAACAAGTAAATTTAATGATTATTTAGCACTTTTCTTTAAAGGCCTTTACACATCAGTGAATATGATGACAAGAAGACTCATGGAATGGGAAGCCCGTGGTTTCTCCCATGTCCTACCTTTGGGGTGATGCTTCTCCCCATAGTAGCACTGCTGAAATGTGGGGAGATGGAAGTTGTGGTTTTCTTTCGAGGCAAAGTATCACTCAGATAGAGGCCTTCTTTATGCTGTTTTTTCCTTTCTTCCAGACTTCTAAAGTGCTTTAAATGCAAATGTAAAGCAAAATAGCAAAACTTGACTAACTGTAATAGGTGACTGAAGAAATGAAGAATTACGCATTTACAAAAAAAAGGGAATTTTAGAATTTTTCTTAAAGTTATTCAACATACACTGTGTTTGCTGATAGATTTGAGCTAGTATTTGATTAGATACTAAACACTGCAGGAATTTATGCTGAACCTAGAAACCTTTTAAAAATTCCACCTTTCACTTCTGTAGTGCTTGCAGCCTTGGGGCCGTAGGACAAATTACAAATTATTATGACGGTTGCCATGTGGATGGCGGAACAGCCAGTGGACAAAGCACGTAAGCACTTTCTCCCCTTCCGGGCAGTTCTGTGGGATGGCACAGATACCAGTGAGAGGAGGACAAGAAAAGGGAAAAAGGAGATAAAGAGAAAAAGCGAGTAAACAGGGAAGTTGTTTGAAAGTTGTAATAACATTTCAGTCACATAAACACACTCCAAATCCACATAAAGTTTTCCTAAAAGGCATCATTCTAAGTTACTTTTTATTTGAAAAGATATTGGCCAAGGAGCCCTTACAGTAATCGCTCACATTTAAAAATTCTCTAATGGACTATTTAATTTTTTTCAGATTTCTAAAGTAAGATTTTTGTCCACTTGAAACTTACTCAAATTTTTCTTGGCCTCCCCTTAGAAATGCCTTTAATAGTAAAATGATGTCTTGGTCAAGTGATGGGTGCACCAAAATCTCAGAAATCGCCACTAGAGAACTTATCCATGTAAGTAAACACTACCTGTTCCCCCCAAAACTATGGAAATAAAAAAGAGAGAAAAAACGCAAAAATGAGCTAAAAAATTTTTTTGTGGCTATATATTTGAAACATAGAGATAAGAAGAGAGGATAATTTAAGAGAGATTCATATTCCCACCACTCAGCTTCACTAAATCTTAACATTGCTTTATTTTTTTAAAGAAATAAAACATATATATAAAGTGATTTATTAATTAAAGATTTTTTAGGTCTGATCATTTTGAAGTCATTTTAAAAGCTCATGTTTTTGAAATGCACAAAAATTAATGCAAATTTGAGTTACCAAATTTATAAACAGTCTTCAAATATGCCAATCATAAAAATCTGCATTTTAACTTTATAATTAACTGTTTATACTAGCTAATCAATTTACTAAGAGCTATGTGCCAGGTATGATGGTTTATATACATTATCTCATTAAATTGTTATAATAATCCTGTGAGGTAGGTACTGAGAAATCTGGGGTGCAGAGAAGTTAAATAAACTTGGCCAAGGTCATGCAGCTGGAAAGTGGCAGAGCTGGAATTCATGGCCAGGTAGTGCATACTAAGATGATAATAATACTTTGCAGTTTGGCTGATTAATGCTCCTTTTAGATAGAAAAATGACGTCAGAACACTTCAATCTAGCTCCCACTATGACCAAATATTATAAATTCTGCAATTCATAACTTTCCAACATTCCATAATGGTACCTTAATAAAATAGAAAAGAAATCCCAATGAAAACAGTCTAATTGAAATTTGGCAGAAAAGAGCAGATTTGTAAACTGTGATTGTTTTGCTACTAGAGATGTCTTGAATGAAGTTGCTAAAGAGATAAATGTAACATCAAAATTGAAGGCATTTAGGTCTTCCATTCTCCTTGTTTCTTCCTTGTATACGTAACTTATTTCACCCACCTTTCACCAATATCCTTTCATGTCAGCCCAGGTGGCAGTTACCTTAAGGCAGTGAGAGATATAGTCCTTTAAAAAATGGTAATCGATGGTAAAGGTACCTTCAAGAAATGTAAGGGCTAAGCATGACTGACCAGAGCTCGCCTACATCAGTGCAATGACTCCTTAGGATCTTTTGGCACCAAATTCCTGCAGGTGTTTGATTATAATTGAAAGGAAGTCTTGAAACAGATTTTTTTTTTTGAATACCCAAGCATTAATATACACCAAGTGTTCTAAAAGGAAGGCAACATTTAGAATAAAAAATAATTTATTTAAAAATCTGGTGAATAAAAACTAGATTTATGGACCAAGTGCACTACTTGTGGTGTGACCTTGGACAAGCTACTTAACCTCACTGAGCCTCAGTTCCCAAAACTTCAATATGGAGATAATTTTTACTTCATGGGATTGTTAGAAAGTATGTAAAGAGACACACAAATTTATAAAACAGATTAAAACAAAGTTACTCTGATTAAGGGAGTGAAGTGTTTAACAAAACACATCAAGGGAATGATGCCTATTTTGGTTTCAATTATGTGTAATAAAAATATTTTGTGTTGATAACATAACTCTTTACATATAGAGTTTATGGAAATGCTTGTTAGTATTTTGAGAACTATCTGTGGTAAGTTGCAATATTTTGGTTGAATGGTAACTGAAGGATGCGGGTATACAAAGGGCTCAAACATATAAAAGCCAGTAGGGGACACTCAAGGTATCAAAACTTCACAACAATTCTAACATCCTTAAATGTTCCAACACTAAATGTTCTTAAGAGGGGGAAAAAAAATCAGAGAAGTATGCAAGTTGCCTTTTTAAAAAATGCCTTTGGGAAAGTGGAAGAAAAGATTCCACATAAGTAACTTTGTTGCCAAGATAACATTCCCAAACTCTAAATTCCAGTTCCTAATTACCTGTTGCTCCTGCTGCTGCTGCTGCCTTCTGTGTTTCTTAGCTGGTAGAGGAGGAGGTGTGTCATTTAAAGGTAAAGGATCGACAGATGTAGCCATGAATTCAGGCCATGGGGCTGATGTATGTTGAGTGATAGGATGAGAAGAAAGGGTGGAAGGAAACACAAATCCAGAATAGACAGGTGATCTTTGCTTTATAGGAGAAAGAAAAGGTATATATGTATCCACATGAAATGAAAGAATAAGACATAGAAATGAAATGGATAGTTTGTTCTGTTTTGTTATATTTTAATTAAGAAGTTACAATTGATGGGCAGTATCGTTCAATTTAGCCTCTTATTAAAATCCCACACTGTAAGCAATTTGGGTCACTGAGGTATTTTAATTTATTATTATTGGCCCCTCCCCTAGAAGGCTTTTAAAAGGCCTAATATTTAAAAGTATCCATGTTACAAAACAAAATCGAAAACAAAGTCAAACTGAAAAGGCAATTCAAATCAACAATTTTAGAAAGGCTTTTTAATTTACAAGAAAACTAAGCTGAGTTAGAGTGCTAAGACATAGAACTTATTTCTTTGAACTTACTTCTCCTAGTACTCCACTCTGTAGCATAAATTTCATGGTTTCTAGAATTTTTATTGGTAGAGCATTACCCCCAAATTGGTATGCTTTATAAACTCAGCCTTACCCTACCCCTCTGGTCAGACAGATACACATTTGTCACGCACGCTCTCGTGGACCTCATTTTCAGTTGGCCGTGGGTTAATTTCTGACATGAAGAAAAGCAGTGAATGAATGAAACGTCACGCCTACACACCTCTTTACTCTGAGGCTGGCTCGCCAGCACAGCTGTGGCAGGCTCAGTGGCAACAGCATCAGCATCAGCAGGAAACTGAGTGGAAGGGGATAGATTCGTGGAATTGCCACATGGCTCATTAATCTCATTTACACTGATATAGCCCTAAAAGGAGGAATTCAGAAGTTAAACACAAAGAAAGCAAAAGCCGAGGCATGCGAGAGTATTAATGTTCCCAGTACAATGAAGTTAGCTTAGAGCGGCACAGCCAGATATCTGTGGTATTATCAAATGTTTCATTAAGGGAATACTCAGCAATTAAAATGGATTTACATTGCTTAATCTTGAAAATTGGCATTCGAAGCATTAAACATAATTTTTCTGATGCAATCAAGATAACTATATTATAAATAACCCAAAACCTTCTATTTTAAAATATCCAGAAGTATCAGCATTCATTCTGTTGATGGATTAAGGTTGTCACCACATACACATTTAAAGTAATAACACACCAAAAAATCCAAGATGTAAAATTGACAATGCAATCACTCACTCCCTAATTAAAGAGACTTTTCCACAAATCTTCATTCTTAGATTTTCACCGTTTCTGTTTCCTGATGAATTAGAGTGTGAGGAAAATGGGCTGAGGGCTACTGGGTTTTACACTAAGCAAACATTTATAAAACAGTAATTATTTATAGTGGGTTCTAGCTTTTGGGCATCTCAACCAAATGAGAATAAAAAGAACACTGTCCTTTCATGCAGGTGAGCCTTCCCTAGCAAAACAAATGTGTGCACGTGCACACACACACACACACACACACACACACACACACACAGAGTCCTAAGGTGGAGTTGCAACCAGGGTATGTTTCAATTCAAGGCAGCCTCCCTAACCCCCATCTCTACCCATAGGACAGAGAATTTCCAGTTACTTTTGAACTCAATAATTCAGTTCTGGCTTCAGCTTAGAGAAAATACAAAATACCTGAGAAGCAGAGCTCCTGAATCTGTGGAAAAGGCACTTGTCAATTTTCATGGAAACTATGCAGACCAATCATGATTTTCACCACCCCAATAAAACAGTGTGAAAAAACTATATAAAATAAGATCTCTCCTTTAAAGGTGAAATTGAGTTAAATTTGACACAAAGATTCTTCTACGAGTCCATCAATTCTTTTACAAATTTTAGGCTGGAGAATAAAACACCTTGATTTTTGGTAAAAACCCTGAAAGGACTGATAACAAAGTGGAGAATGCCAGAGTTGACTGTTTATAAATTGGATGTGTCAGACACTTGCACTTCAGAAGGCAGGACAGATACCATGTAAAGTTTTATAAGGTTAAACTGAAGAAAAGAAGTAGTCAACTAGGTCAAGTTCATTCAATATGTAATACTGAATCAGAAAGAAAATGAACAATTTTGGGTTTTTCTTTTGCTCAGTTAATAGTAGACTGTTTTGAAGCCAAGTTTTAATTATTTATGTGAGTCATAAACCATACAACTTAATTAACTGCTTCAAAAATGTAAACTACTTTAAAACCTGGGAGGTCTTTAAAATAGGTTATAAATCAATCACCCCTTTAAAAAAGAAAAAAGAGAGAGAATGAGAGAGGAGGAGAAAAAAAAAAAGAAAACCATCTTGTGAGTCAAGTCTGCTTGTACAGGAAAGTGAACACACAGCAAAATTGCCATGTGTTCTCATAGCAACTCATTGTTTTACTCAACAAGCAGAAGAGTTGTAGATACACAACAATAGTGAAAAAAACTAAATGTGCTTCTGACATCAGAATGTCTGCAGGAAATAAAGACCAACTCATTAACAGAAAAGGAAAGACTTTATTCTTCTATTAGGAGACGGAGAGACTTTAGAGCCCATCTAATTCATCTGGATGCCATAAGCTCTTCAAACTGTATGTCCAGAGTCAACTCCAAATCTTCCCTCTCAAACAATTCCTTCCCCAGTCTTCCCTATCTCACTAAAAGGTGCCTACCATATACTTCATTACTCAAACTGGAATAATGGCATGATTCCGGACACCTTCATTTATTTACTTCATGCCAACATCCAATCTATCAGCAAGAACTGTCAACTCTGCCTCCAAAATATCTGCTAATCCAGCTAACTCCTTCCATCTCTCTGCCATCCTCCAATTCAAGCTGCCAGCCTCTCTAGCCTATGCTACTGCAATCATTTCCACAAAAATTTCCCTGCATCTGCTTCTCTTACTCTATGATCCAGTAGTCACAGAGCAGCCCAGAGTGATCTTTAACAAATGGATAACAAATGTTACCTCCCTGCTTAAAACCACTTGAAGGCCTCCCACCACACATGAAGTAGACCACATTTCTTTAACAGACTCACAAGACCTGCTCTTACCCACCTTGCTAACATTATCTTAGGCCATGACATTCTATTCACAACCACGCTTTGTTCGTTGAACCTGACAGTTCCATGTTCTGAATAATGAAAAGAAATTATGAAACTGAATGATCTAACAAAGTTTTGGAAAAATACTTCACAAAATGATTCTGAGGTACATATACAGTCACACTTATTGTGATGAGCATTTTGCTTCATATACACACAAAAATATTTTCTACGTAAGAATCCTAACTCCACTGTCTAAAGGGTTTTTTTTTTTTTTAATTATGCAAACACTTATGTAGAAGCAAGCTTTTCTTTTAGCTTTTTAGAAAAACAATACATATAAGGAATATAAATATAGGCCCGGTGTGGTGGCTCATGCCTATAATCCTAGCACTTTGGGAGGCCGAGGCAGGCAGATTACCTGTGATCAGGAGTTTGAGACCAGCCTGACCGATATGGTAAAACCCCATCTATACTAAAAATACAAAAATTAGCCGGGTGTAGTGGCGGGCGCCTGTAGTCCCAGCTACTCAGGAGGCTGGGACAGGAGAATTGCTTGAACTCAGGAGGCAGAGGTTGCAGTGAGCTGAGATGGTGCCACTGCACTCCAGTCTGGGTGACAGAGTGAGACTCTGTCTCAAAAATATATATATATATATATATAAACTATTTTTTTCTCAGCTATAATTTTCCAAATTAGAGTTAAAATATTCTCCCAGCGTAGCAGTGTAGTTCCTTAAGATATCTGGCGGGGAAAGTGGTGATGGGGACTGGAGAAAGGTGAATATTAGAGATAAAGAGTATGTACAGTTTACTGTAAATAGGACTTTCCAGTTTACAGTGGAAAATGGCAGAAACAACAGTTGGTGGGGTAGGGAGATAGCGAAAAGAAAGAAACCAGACCACCTTCTCAAATGTTTGCAGGCATTTTCATGTTCTACAAGACTCAGGAGAAGGAGAAGCAAAATAACAGAGGGGAGGGAGAAAGGAGACTCAGGAAGGAAAAAGGAGAATTTAAGACTCATCTTGGTCTGGATCCTCAAGTTTTTGAAACACCAAATTAACCCACAATGTCACTACCCAGCAAAGTAGACACACACACACACACACACACACAAAATATGCATCCACATTAGACACAAGAATAATCTCTGCAATCCCCAAAGCATACATAATGAAAGGCGGGGAAACCATCCAAGCATTGAGTGCTTTCATAGGTCCTTTGAGTTAATATTTTTATTATTCAGCTAATCGCATAAAGCTGAGATACATCTCTTGATTTCTAAGGCAATATAAAGTGACATGCAAAATCATAGCTTACCTCTTTTAAAGTATTGGGGTTAACGGGAAACCCTTTCCCCCCAGAGAGGCTGGAGTATTTCTTTTCCAAATTACAAAGATTCTCCTTTTCCTGAAGGAATACAAAACCTATTAAACTTAAAAGCCAACCTTGGATACAACTGAGAAGCACAGTGACTTTGCATTAGAGACTAACATCAGTATCTCACATATTTCCCCTCATTTTATTTCCTCTCATCATACTCAGTCAAAACTTCAAATCTGTATCCTAGCGGTCATCTTCTGCCAGCTGATATGCTGCATGAGTTGTTTCCAAACATACTTAGCTATATAACTTTTAATTCCTAATAAATTTTATAGTCATTTAAAAATGTGTTTAAAATTTTAAAACTTTATATAAAAAATATAAAATAAATTGTATATTTTATTTTTACTTTTATATAAAAATAAAATTTTAAAAACATTATTTTCGGCCAGGTGCGGTGGCTCACGGCTGTAATCCCAGCACTTTGGGAGGCTGAGGTGGGCGGATCACAAGGTTGAGATCGAGACCATCCTGGCTAACACGGTGAAACTCCATCTCTACTAAAAATACAAAAAATTAGCTGGGCATGGTGGCGGGCACCTGTAGTCCCAGCTACTTGGGAGGCTGAGGCAGGAGAATGGCGTGAACCCAGGAGGCGGAGGTTGTAGTGAGCTGAGATCGCGCCACTGCACTCCAGCCTGGGCGGCAACAGAGCGAGACTCTGTCTCAAAAAAAAAAAAAAAAAAAAAATTATTTTCTAATGTCATTTTCTTTTAATCCTTCCAAGTAACACATAATTGTTGTTGATGATGTAATATCACATGATGTTGTTGATGACATAATATCTGATGATGTAATATCACAACCCAGTGATATATTTTCTTTTGGGAACTTTATGGTGTTAGCTTTTATGTTTGTGTCTACCATTCATCTTGAATTAATTTGGTATTAAGCAACATTTATGGGTCATTTTTTTATCATGGTATAATTTGTATATATGTCCTTGCCATGGCTGGGGCTAAAATATTTTTAATTAAAAAGATAATGTGCATTCAGTGAAATGCATAGATCTTAAGTACATAAATTTATGAGTTTTAACAAATGGAATAATATCCCAGACAAGATAAAGAGCATTTCTGTCACCCCAAACATTTCCTCATGCCCCTACCTGTCAACTTCCACCCTTTTGAGCAAGCATTGTTCTGATTTCCATGGCCTTCACACTGGTTTTGCCTGTGTTATAAAGTGTTTGCCTACTTATAAAATGTAACCACTTTATATAAATGGAATCATACAATATGCATTCTTTTGTGCCAGCCCTCTTTCACTCCATGTTACAGGCATCAGTAGTTCACTGTTTTTTATTGTTGAGGAGTCCTGTCCTGTATTATATGAACATACTTAACAAGTTGCTTATTGATGGATATTTAGGTTGTTTCTAGTTTTGTTTTGCTTGCTATTATGGAAAAAGCTACTTTAAACAGTCTTGAACAAGTTTTATATGAAGACGTGTTTTCATTTATATTATGTAAACATCTAGAAGTGGAGTGGTGGGTCATAGATGGGTGTATGTTAAAAAAAACTTCTACAAAGTTCTCTGAAAGGACCATAGATTTTACACTCAAGTCAGCAATGTATGAAAGTTCTAGTTGCTTCATATTCTTGTCAACATTTGAGATTTTCATTTCTTTACTTTAGTTATTTTAGTTTACGAGGCAGAAGTACATTATTGTTGTAATTCATATTTCCTTGATGACTAATGATGAGTATTTTCCCATGTAACTTTTTGGTTCTTCATATATGCTCTTTTGTAAAATCTCTATTCAAGACTTTTGCCTGTTTTTTAAAAAAATTATTGGTGTATCACTATTATTATTGATGTGTAGGAGTTCTTAATATGTTCTGGATACAAGTCTTTTGTCATTTCTTTGAAAAATTTTTGCTTACTCAAGGCCATAAAAGTGTACTTTCACTCTTATATTTTCTTCTGGAAGCTTTATCATTTTAATTTTTATATTGAGGTCTCCGATATCTCTTGAATGAATTTACATATATCATATGACAATATTGAGGTTTATTTTTTTCCATGTTGACCCAGTTGATCCAGCACCATTTCTTTGAAAGATTTGTTTTGGTGCCTTTGTCAAAAATCAAAAGACAGTACGTATGTATGGGTCCATTTTTGGACTTGATAGTTCAGTTTCATTGATCTATTTAATACATGTCTATTTGCATGGCAGCACCACCCTGTCTTAAATGGCTCCAGAGTAAACCTTGAAATAAGAGTACAAATCCTCCAACTTTGTTCTCGTTCAAAGTTGTTTTGGCTATTCTAGGCCCTTTGCATTTTCATACGCAGTTGATTCCTATTATTGGTGGTAGCTATGTTCTATAATGTTGCCACGAACACTGAATTAGTGAATACTGAACCACTGCTCCTATAAAAAAATACAGGGTTGGGTTCCTGCAAGCCTCTAGTCACAACATTTTCATCAACTGATCAGTACTGAACTTTGTTTTATGTGTGTTTCTGTTTGAAGACACTTACTTAATATTATATTATATGCCATTATATAAGATATTAATATTAGCATATTGTATTATATATTATTATTTGTATATTAAGATATGTATTGCTGATTCATTAACCTTGTACTGACAGTCGGCAACACTATAATAGTGTGAGTGAAGTTCATCTAACACATATATTTTCTCCATAAGGCACTTCACAGCCTTCTTGCATTTAGGAGCACTTCACTGCACTTAATCACTATGCTTGGGAGGCATTTTATGCAGCAAATCACCAACAAAAAGCAAAAACATAAAAACACCGCATTAAATAATCCACAAAAATAACACTTGTTTACAGTATGAGAGGTAAAACAAGAAGGCAGGATGCTGCCTTGCTCAGCCCCAGCTGGGAATGTGCATATTGGCCAACTCACAATTTTCACCACTCCATGCATTTCTGTGAATGGCTACAAAAGTGCCACAAGTCTCGATTTAGAGGTTACAAATACATTTTAGCAAGTAGACATAATCACAAATAGAGAATCCCTGAATAATGAAGATCAACTGTAAATTTTCGCATCAACTTGTCAATTTCTAGAAAAAAGTCTGTTGGGATTTTGATTGGGATAAAAATGTATCTATAGATCAGTTTAGAAAAATAAAAATCTTACTACTTATAGACCACAATTTTTACAATCTAATTGTATCTCATATATTTTTAATAGGAAAATATTGTATCTGTGATTGTGCTTACCCATTTTATAAAATCTATCACTAAGAGTTTTTCTCTTTTTTTGGCTAAAATTTTAAATATTAAATACTATATATTACACTATCTAAGTTAAGCTGGGCCTTTGAATATTGTGTGCCAAAGGTAAAATAGTAGTGAGGATGCTAATGGAAACAGAGCATCCCCAGAGCAAGGGATAGAAAGGGAAAATACAACTCCATTCAGAAATTTCTAGGTGGGAAAAGGGGGAAGATGGAAGTTGTTAGAAATATGTGCGAGCTGCTGGGGCACCTCAAGTGGGCTCATGATTCTGTGTGAAGGACCTATTTCCTCTCTCTTCTTTGTTTTTTGTTTTTTTTTGAGACAGGATCTCGCTGTTGCCCAGGCTGGAGTGCAGTGGCATGATCTTGGCTCACTGAAACCTCTGCCTCCCAGATTCAAGTGATTCTCCTGCCTCAGCCTTCTGAGTAGCTGGGATCACAGGTGTGTGCTATCATGCCCAGCTAATTTTTTGTATTTTTGGTAGACACAGGGTTTTGCCATGCTGGCCAGACTGGTCTTGAACTCCTGGCCTCAAGTGATCTGCCCGCCTCACCCTCCCAAAACGCTGGGATTGTAGGCATGAGCCACAGTGTCAGGCCTTCCCCTTTCTTCTTAACCTAAAATAGCTAAGAAGGGAATGAATACTCAATTATTTTAGGGGGGACTATGGTACAGCTTCATCCTTCAATACTTCCTTCTGGATTTGGTGTTTCTCTGCCTGCCATTCTGGGTCTATCACACATTTTCATGATCCCAAGTGCCATATTGCTAATGTAGTGGCTTAAATGCAGGGTTCAGATCTGAGACTAGCCCCATTAACTTTAACGTTTGGTGTCTTATTGCTGAAATGACACCAGGGGCCATGTCAGAGAGTTAGGCTACCTTGCTTTTCAATGCCTTTGGGCAAAGAAATCCCTTTACAGGTAGTCACTTTAGGTGCTGGACCATAAGAGGTCACAGTCTCTTTAGTGAGGATGATCTTGCCACCCCTCGACTATACCATATGGAGTTTCTACCTATCCAATTAATTCAAACTAAACGCAACGTGACATTTGCTAGGAAGACTCGTGTACAAATAATTGGAGTTCAAAACATCAGATCAGCTGGGCCAAAATATTTGACAGTAGTAAAAATAACATTTTTCCTTAAGTCCACCCTAAATTGGTGTTAGAATGCATTTTAACTATTTGATGAATGGTATGACTTTTTTTAAAAAGAGGAAAATAATCATTTAAAAATACAGACTTTCCATCGTTAAGATTTTTACAATGTGAGAAAACCATGAAGAAAACATCCTTGCTTATTTTCTGAATGGTCGTTAATAGTTCATAGTATCTTCTTATTAATGTGGAGGATTAAATTAAAAAGTATATAAAAATCTTCCTTAAATTGTATAGGCATTCACTATTAAAAGGTGTTTACTTTAAAAGGAGCAATTTCCCTAAATTTGGAACCTATGTTTTACTGTAGCCAGTGCTGAAAAGGAAATACTTACTCTTTGTAACATCATTATTAAATTATTCTTTTCTTTCACAAAATGATCTTGTTCTCTCTGAGCCTGCTGAACAATGTGATTGGCTTGCTTTTTCAATGCAGAAATTTTTTCCTGGAGGAAAAGAGATGATCATAGGAAGATGTACATTAGACACTCAAAGGTTTGCCAGTCTGTCCTAGAAAAGGGAGAAAAAAAGTTTTACAACGGGAATAACAGTGACTGCATTTTAGTTGATGGTGGGCAGTGATTACTACCAAGAGACTGTGGGGCATTTCTTTGACCTATCAGCCTCAATACTTTCTTTACTGAAGGCGAATATAGATCAACTGACTTAAAACCTATCTTGAAGAACCCAGAAGTCAACAGGAAATCTTGTTTCAGGTTATTGATGAATTTTTTACAACATCTTGGGTACACCTCATGAGAAAAAAACAATGGAATTTCTTATTTAAACTGAGAGTTTAAGAAAACACCTTCTCTTATCTTTCCTTTCCTCAATTTTATTGGTTTAATACAGAGCCCTGGGTGTGATTCTAAATTCTGGAACAAAGTTGAATTCTGGGCTGGACATCTAAGTGCTAGGGGTTGGGTGGAGTCAGTAGTAACCCACATGGCATTCTACTTCTAATGGTAATAAGCTATCAGCCAGTTCTGAGAACTACTGCGCAACGAAAACAGAGAAAAATCCAAAATAGACTTTGTTCACAGAATTATTCTGAACCCAGTTACTAGGATCGCAGAAAGAAATAATTTAAAACCAATATCTGAATGCCTGATTTTCTATGCCTTGGTTTTCACATGAATGAAACAACGAGGTATTATTCATAAATGAATCTACAGCATTATGCAAGAAAAGTGTACTGTGTCTCAATTTGTCTAATTTGGAACACCACTTGCCACATACATGGCAGACTCTGTAATCTGCCAAATGTGATATTCAGACAGACATATGGCATAGCTATGTTATGCAGAAGAATATTTTGATTTTTCACATTGAATGACACCTGGCAAAAGTACCTTTCTAGAAACGATGTTCCGTTGATATTCAGCAACTTCACGCAGGAGCTGTTGAGTCAAGTTCTCCTTTTCTTCATCTAGACGGCTCTCATGTTCAAGCTGCTGGAACTCCAGGTCTTCAAAGTGTTTGCTTTCAACATCCAACAGGTCAGCATCCTTTGGAGAAAAGGGAATGAAAACAAGACACACTGAGATAACTACCACCTTCTTAATGTGAAGAAACATTTATTAAAAGCTTTGCTCCAAGATATCTTTCCAATTACAATATTGACCAGGGTTAGAACATAACACTCTCTCGGAGGTAAATCCCAGAACGTGACTACTAGAGGGACTCGAAAGGGGTGTGGTGGGGTGGGCAGCATTTATTTCACCCTCAGTTTTAGATTTCTCTGTGGAGGTAAGAATTCTTGCGTTAAACCCACTGGGTGGCTTTAAAATGAAGAAGGAAATATAAAAAGAACTCAGTAAATAATCTAAACATAATCTGCAGTCCAAAGGTGTAACATAGTGTTACAAGAAAATTCTTCTTGGCCTGGCGTGGTGGGTGGCTCATACACGTAATCCCAGCACTTTAGGAGGCCGAGGTGGGGGGGGATCACCTGAGGTTAGGAGTTTGAGACCAGCCTGGCCAACATGGCAAAACCCTGCCTCTACTAAAAATACAAAAATTAACTGGATGTGGTGGTAGGCACCTGTAGTCCCAGCTACTTGGGAGGCTGAGACAGGAGAATCACTTGAGGTGGAGGTTGCAAAGAGCCGAGATTGTGCCATTGCACTCCACCCTGGGCAACAAGAGTGAAACTCTGTCAAAAAAAAAAAAAAAAAAGGAAGGAAGGAAAGAAAGGGAAGGGAAGAGAAAGGAAGGGAAGGGAAGGGAAAGGAGCAATCTCTTCTTTTCCTCAATTTTTCACATAAAATAGGACTAATATGGAGACTAAAGAGTCAAAAGTTGGCACACGTACAGACCAGAGGTATCTAATAGGGATACATGCATCCCAGATGGCACACAACACAATCTGCTGGACTGTGCAGAAACAAATTAGACCTCTTCATACTTGTTTTTAATTGTTTATTTTCTTTTTCAGTTTCTCAACAAATGTTTTCTAATGTATACACAAGTAGCATAGTATGTATACATGATTTTAAATATACACATCCTTTGGGTATGCACACTATATATATTTATAATATGGATTATGTATCATATATCTACAAAGGAAATGCATGCTGTAATAATTTTATTAAAGGGATAAGCAATCAAAAAACTTTTGGACATGGGCTCTAGGTGATGAGGATGTGTTAGTGGAGGTTTAGCAATTGTAACAATTGTACTGCTCTGGTGGAGAATGCTGATAATGAGGGGAGCCTATGCATGTGTGGGGGCAGAAGGAATATGGGAAATCTCTGCAACTTCTGCTGGGTTTTGCTGAAAATCTAAAACTGCTCTAAAAAATGAAGTCTGTTTTTAAAAAAACTGGAAATTGAGGTTTTAAAGCCAGGGTTCTATGAACCCATTAAAAATATGTACACACCTTTTTACTGGAAAGTGTAAACCAAGCTTTTATGAGGCACAAAGGGTGACTCAAAAGGTTAAACACCACCACTCTCAGAATAATCTTGAGGACATTTAAGGAAGATTGGAAATCATGAAAATCAGATGGTCTAGAAAAAGCATTCTCTAACCTATGAGGTATTTGAAAACAGGAATATATTTATGCATCTGCATTCATGCAGAGATTGATGCATGTTGTATAGATTCTTCTCTAATATGCTTTTTGTTTAAACACCTTTTTATTCTTGGAGTCTTTAACATGATTTATAAATGGGGTATGTTTAGGAGATTTCTTTTTCTTTTTCTTTTCCTTTCCTTATTATTATTATTTTTTTTTGAGAAGACGAGGTCTTGCTTTTGTCACTCATGCTGGAATGCCTTGGCACAACACAGCTCACTGCAGCCTTGACCTCCCAGGCTCAAGCAATCTTCCCGCCTCAACCTCCCAAGTAGCTGGGACCACAGGTGTACTCCACCATGCCTGGCTAATTTTTGTACTTTTTTATAGAGTGGGGTTTTGCCATATTGCCCAGGCTGGTCTCAAACTCAAGCAATCCACTCACCTCAGCCTCTACTCACCTGGATCTACTCACCTGGGATTATAGGTATAAGCCACCACACCCAGCCAGATATTTTTATAAATATAACTTATACATAATCTATGTCCAAAAGGAAGAGGCAGCTGGGCTCTGTGGCTCACAGCTCTACAAAACTAACATAACCAAAGCATTTTTTGGTTGTTCTTCAATCAAATCATCAAAGAGAGGTGAATAAATAATTATATGCTAAGTTATCTCTATATCAATATTCAACCCCACCCCTACTCTGGTTTTCATATTAATGATAAAGCAAGCTTTCTGATAAAATGAAATGTATTTCTATCTTCTGCAATGACTTTTACTCTAGGGATGATTCATAGAAGAGCTATTAGCTACTGAGTAATTACAACTGATAATACATATAGCAACAAGACCATCATGTCAACACAGACTGAATTCTCAAAGCAGGAAAAACACAATTTGAAAAACATATTCAACATTTCTTAACACTTCTTTACATTTTATTTGGCTCCAAAAAAATATGCACTCAATTTCAAATGTTTGGTTGACATTTCAAGTTTATCAGACATTTCAAATTTATAACTTCTGAAAGAATTAATGAATTAAAAGAATTAAGGAATTAAGAAATAACTCAAGTGTTAGGTCTTAAAACAATATCTTCTGTTTTGAAATAATGCACTGGCTGACATATAGGCACATACACTCAAGTTTATAAGGTCTTCCAATTAAGCTGATTTGTGGCCAAAGATTACTGAGATTTTAAAAAAAGGAATAAGCCCTTTTTCTGGCTTATAACTAACCTCCATTCAAAGTGGCCATATGGCTCTTAATATATACACTTTGCTAGTCAGTTGCTTACTCCACATCTGGTTAATATGCAACATGTGTTATTTTAACCCTGCATGAAAGTCAAAGAATCATTCATTTATTTGTAGTAAATACTAAAACCACTGTATGAGAATAATGGCACACTAGGTAAGAAAGTTGAAAATTAAGCTAAGCTCAGCACTTAGACTCCACTGATGTAATCATCTGATCAAGTTACCTATATAAACGTGTGTATATAAACTTACATCTTAAACAAAAAACTATTAGGGAGGGAATAAAACCTTTTATAAGATTTTATGTATGAATAAGAAGTCTGGGAATGGAATTTGGGGGCAGGAATAGTTTAATTGAGCACAGAATAATATATACAGGAAGTTCAAAGTGAAGTATGTATGACTAATTGAATGAAAATTTAACTGTACTTCACTCACTAAAAGAGTGTTACAAATCTCTACTGGCTGGCAAGCTCAAAGGCCAGGCACGAAAGGACCTAAAACAGCTGCACTAAAGGAAATTCTGTGCAATTTCTTTTTTCTTTCCAGTAACTTTTAAAATAATGTATATGGCAGAAGTTTACATGCAGTTCTTTTATGTTTTCTTTGCCTGATGGAGGGACAGGAAGAAGAGAATAGATGTGGTATGACCAGGAGAAATTGCAGTAATAACAGCTCATGGCCAACTCCAGAAGCAAATTTAAATGGGGCTTGGGTTTTGTTAATTTTTACACTTTAACTACATACTTTTGGAATATGGAAAAAGACAGTTGAAATAATCTAGTCCAACCTCCTTGAGGTGATTAATACTGTCAACCTGATTGGATTGAAGGATGCAAAGTATTGATCCTGGGTGTGTCTGGGAGGGTGTTGCCAAAGATTAACGTTTGAGTCGGTGGCTGGGAAAGGCAGACCCACCTTAATCTGGGTGGGCACCATCTAATCAGCTGCCAGAGCAGCTAGAATATAAAGTAGGCAGGAAAAAAAACAAACAACAACAACAACAACAACAACAACAAAAACGTGAAAAGACTAGACTGGCCTAGGCTCCCAGCCTACATCCTTCTCCTGTGCTGGATGCTTCGTGTGTGTGTGTGTGTGTGTGTGTGTGTGTGTGTGTATGTGTATAGTATTACTTCTGTCCCTCTAGAGAAACCTGACTAATATACTCCTTATTTCATATATGAGGATGTTGTGGCCCATAGAAGTTGAATGACTTGTCCAAGACTAATGGATACACTGATTTTATAGCCAGTGATAGTAAAATTGTAGATCACTGAATAAAATTTTTTTAAAACATCAAGATACCAAAATCAACCATTCATTTGAGTAAATATCAAAAGCACAAGAAGACAGTTACCCAGCTGGGATAATTTTCTTGTGCTTTTGATACTAACTCAAATAAATGTTTGATTTTGGTCTTGATTAAAAAAAATTATCCAGTGATATCTACAATTAGTAGACCTTTTTTCTATCACTGGCTCTAAAATCATTTTGTCCATTAGTCTTGGACAATTCATTCAAACTCTATGGGCCTAAATACCCTCATATATGAAATGAGAAGGTAGGATGAGATTATTTCTATTATCTTTTTCCAAATGAGATGAGTTGAATGACTCATTCTCATTTAATGTCAGCTTTCTTTTCTACACTATTAGTAACCCAGGGACTGCTTTGCCCATATCAAATACTAGATTGGTAAGGTCATGTTAACATACCAACCACAGGCCACAAAACTAATATCAGATGAAAATAATATTTGGACTCTAACATAACGATTTAAAGGTAGGAAGTCCAGCCATAAGTCATTATGTTGCATGCACAAAATCATTCTACAATTTCAGCTTCATTATTCAAGGCAATATGCAGTTTAATAAAATAACTTTCTTCTTATTCATTTATTTTTTACTTTGTGTGACTTACCACCTAATGAAGATATTTATAATAAAATAAACTTTATTAAATCTAGTTAAACACCCAAGGAAAAGCTTTGTAGTGAAGTCATATTCTGAAGTGTTTGAAGTCTAAAGGGAGATAAGTTGTGATAACACAGAAAGTTCCTAAAGTGAACTTTAGGACTTACTTCTCATGAAGTAAGTGAACTTTTTACTGATTAAGCCAAGGCATTGGTGAAGAGTTATACTGGTCGTCATCCTTGAAAAACAATTAGTAGACCTCTTACTATCAGGTGAACTGCAGCCATCACAAGCCAGCTCTCTCTCCTAAGGAAAGAGGTTTTATAAGAATTTTACACGTTGTTTGGAGAGGAAAGGGAAGAAGTCTCTGCCTTCAATTAATGGAAAAGACTGTCTGCATCATTTCCTTTCCTCTTTCGTAGTCAAAATCTTTGGAACATACAACTCATATTATGAGTTATCTTACAGAATCTAGATTAAGCTAAACAGTATTTATATTACTCATAATCCAAGTTGTGAATGGAATCTATCAATTTTTAAGTGAAGCAATGTTGATAAAAACACAATAAATGGATAACCAGAGGAAGGGAAGGACAAAATACACAACAATGCTGCTGACTGTAAATAAGGAATTACAATGACTGTGTAAAATCTTTAGTGATAAGGAGAGTTAAAAAACAGTAAGCAAATATTTAAAGAATTAGTTTTCCCATCTCTTTTGTTAACTAGCATAAACACAAACAAATTACAAACTAAAATTACAAATACTAGTTTTCTTCCAATCATTTTTATCATAAAATTTGCAGAGAATTGTGACTGAGAGGCAGGAAGTTTTACCTTCTTACAACAAATTCAGCTGTACACAATAAAAGGAGTAAAGGGAATACATGTAAAACTTTTTTGCTCCAACATTGTAAGAAATAAATACTAAAACTATTATGCTGCAGTTTAAACAGCTGCATTGGATTATCATTATTAAGATGCTCTCAACTTCTGCAATACATTGAAAAGCTTTAACTGTTATTTTTTCACCTAGCAATGTTCTCAGAGGTAGCAAATATTTTTGTATTAAAGATCATCTTAAGAATGTTTAAGGATGTGCTATCTCAATAAACTTTTCAACCTCCCCATTCCCAAGAAGGTACAAATACAATAATATGGATGAAACTAGCTTGTTATACTCAGGTAGAATCATAAATTGCTACTCACTTAGGACAAATTACTATTATGTGACTCTTTCAGATATCCAAGACTTCCCCTCTGGGGAAGCAGTTTACTGGGGCTGCTGTTCAAAGGAAATGACCCAGTTGCCAAGAGGCTATGAAACATTAAGTGGCTGCGCCAGTGTTTGTGAAATTATCCACCTAGGAAGTCTTGCTTTCAGAAGATAACCAATGTGGTTGTGTTAAACACTGCCAACCTTAAAGATCGGAGAATAACTTGATAAAGCTTAACTAGAAAGTCTATGCTGCATTAAGTTCTTAAAAATTATGAAGCTCACATGAGATGTTGGGGGCATTAGTGATACCCCACATCTTGGGTCTTGGTATTTAATTGTTGTGATTGGGCTAATTAGTTCAATGTCACTAACCAGCAGAAAGAAAAGGAAAAACAAAAGAACAGCTGCTGGTGGGGAGCAAATCAGAAAATAGGATAATTTGGGGACAAGAGTCTAAAATCAAGCTAAAGAACAAAACATTCAAGGTAAATAGGATTCATGATGCAGCAGAGAATGCAGGGGAAGAGGTCAGTTAATACAAATGCTACAATGTTGATGTTGGTTACAAATCAGAAATAGCTTCTTTTGTCACAGACACATAAAAAATGACTCCAGAAATAGTTTTGCATTATAAATTAGGAGAATGATTCTAACAAGGAATTTTAAAAACTGATTAGCATGGAATAATATATACTGTTAGCATGCATATTTCCATTTAAACATATCTAATGACTAGAACTTATGCAAACTTACGCTATATGAAGTAGTAAGTCACAGGTAAGTGGCACTTAAGTGAAAAACAAAAACGAAAAGCAAAATAACTGGTGCATTCCTGTTTGCTACTGACCCTCTTCAGTTGTTGTTGTAACTGTTCCCTCATGGACTCAGGACAATTGTCCAGCTGGGTCTTCTGCTCGGAGTAAAGCTCCTGAAGCCTCTCTAGTTTTTCCCTTTCAGCATCAAGCTTTACCTTCTCCTGAAGTTCAGAAACCAGAAAATAGAATAGAAATTACCTTCACACCCCAAGCAGGTGCTAGTGAACATTTCTCAAGGATAACACAAACAAACATACACGAACTCTGGACATTCTATGAATGTAGAAACATATCTTGTTAGTGGCTAGGATAAAGGGATATAAGCGGAAGTTAAGACAAAGGGACTGGGTTTCTCTATTCTCAAAGCACAGTCCACTTCATGGCAATGACTCCCGCTTTCCTTCCCTCCCTCCTTCCTGCTACCATGTTACAAAAGCAGGGGAAGCAATGGTCATGTTGAGTGTTGGTCACTGGCCAACAATAAAAGAAATGCCAAGCAAATTCATAAGCAAGACTTGCCAAGAGTCACCTGTCAGAGAACCAGACAAAGGAAAGAGGGCATTTGCCTCAAGGACTGTCATAGCCTAACTTGCTCAAGGCCTTCGCATGGCAAGTTTTGGAATTTCTTGGTTTTGTTCTCAGGTTAGAGGAATTCTAGGTGTATTAATTGACAGCCCCATCATCTGAAACAGTTCTAGCTATTTGGAAAACTTCAGAATTTACAGAGTTAGAAAATCTTAATCCAGAGAGATTATTCAAAGACTGAGAGAGCTAGTAAAACTGCAAGACAGACAAAGCAGCAAGGGGGAGGCATAGGCAGCTCAGACACACCAAAAACCTGACAGGGACTGTGGAAATACAGACTTTCCCACAATGACTGACACACAAATAAACTGAAACACGGACTGTGAAAAAAAGAAAAGAGTCAGAGAAGAAAGGAGAAGGAAGAGAATACTAAATCCCTTCCAAGTCACATGTGCCAATGAGACCCTGGACATTCCCCAGGACATAATAGGCAAATACTCTAATACAGTGATTACACAGCCTTACAATGCTACCTCTTAAATTAAGAAACAAAACTTCAGTTTGTTTGGTGCCAGTCTTCCCAACCTGTGTTCTTTTTATGATGCTCTGAACACTTGAAACAAATTTTAGATGTGTTTTCTCCTTGTGTAACACCATCAGCCTGAACAAAAGCACTTTATGAAGCACTTTGACAATCTGACCTTTGGTAAGTGAAATGACCCCCACTTTCCCTTCCTTATATTCCTTTCATATAAACTGGCAGTAACAAAACTAGCTTCTAAGCACATCACAGAAGGACTCTTTTTAAGGATTTTCCTCCGAAATAGTCCTATGAAATTATCCTTACTACATTTTATCAAAATGGCCATGATTTCTTATGTATAAAAGACGTTACGGTCCAAATCTAAAACTACATGACCATCAATACCAGTTCACTTGAGTCTCCATTTTTGACTTAAATTTAGAAATGTATATTTGGCTTTAGAAATGTAATTATCTTAAAATAATTAAATTCAGAAGTCATAAACCTGAGACCCCTACTTCATATATCAATCTAACATGGTTCTGTAACAACTTAAAACTTTAACAGACTACAAAGAAAATTTCTTTGGTCTTCAACGGTTAAGTTTGCTCACTGTACACACCAATTGTGCAAGAGTTGGAGAAAGCAATGGCATTGTTAACAGAAGAAAGGATGCCCACGTGTGCTAATCCATAGTAAAACTGAATATACTAGCACCGTTAGATTTAGTCTTTAGTTTCAGAATTTTTTTTTTCCCTAATAAAACCAGCAATATAGAATACTTGTTGTCCTTTGGCTAAAAAAAGGTGTTCTTTCCTATGTGTGTGCATCAAAGATTGCCCTATTTACACAGCAAAATAATTTTATCCCAAGAGTTCTATTTCTAGGTACTGCATCACCAGTTTGCAGCAACTCTACTTACAAATGGAAAGCTAAAAAGTAATTAAAAAAAGAAGACGACTATGCATCATAATTTAACAGCACATGTATAAAGCCCTAAAATTTAAAGTTATCTTCGATAGAAAACACTGAAACGATATTTGATAATACGGAAAGCCACTGGCCTAAAACACAGGTCTCAAATCTGAAGAAATAACAAAAGTATTCCTGATGCTCTCAAATGTTTGTATTGTGAATAATAAACTCAAATCAACAACTAATAAAAAAAATCTTTCATGCCTGTAATCCCAGGAATTTGGGAGGGGCCAAGGCGCCGGACCCACGGGTCAGAAACGAGACCATCTTGGCTAACACAGTAAACCCCCGCTCTACTAAAAAACACAAACAAACTAGCGGCTACGGTGGCCGGCGCCTGGTAGTCCCAGGCTAACATGGAGGCCTGAGCCAGGAGAGGCGTCGAACCCCGGGACGGCGCAGCTTGCAGGAGCTGAGATCTGGCCACGCCACTCCAGGACCGGGCAACAGAGCCGAGGGATCCCGCTTCAAAAAAAAAAAACAAAAAGTACAACAGACAACAAAACAACGAAACCTGGTAGCCGGGCATGTGGTGGGTGCCTGGTTTGTTATCCCAGCTGACTTCAGGCAGGGCTGAGGACGAGCTAGGCGTTCAACCCAGGCAGAGCAGAGCTGCAGTGGCGAGAATAATCAGCGCCCGCACTCCAGCCTGGGTGAACAGAGCGAGACTCTGTCTCAAAAAAAAAAAAAAAATCTACATTCTCAATCTAGCGCCCTTACTTCAACGTGCTAACACGTTTCTATCAGCCAAGGGGTCATCTAGAAGAAA